TAAGTTATCTATATTATTATTATACTTATATATTGCTCAACTCACCTGGTATGATATTAGCAGCAAGTATTTCAGTATATATAAAGCTTTCTACAGATTATAGTAAGAACTAGAAGTAATATATAATATATATACTCCTCCTTGATTAATAAGCAGTGAACCAGAAGATGCAGACATAAGTATGCTGGTTTAATAATATTTCAGAATATTGAGTAGTATAGTCACGTTAAAGATATTTAAAAATATTTTAATTACAACCAAGATTAAGTCTATATATATAAAAAGCAGTTCATTTTCTCTACCTTCCTATAGTTATCACTGACCAAATCATAGACTAATTTTAAGGATACTATATATACTTACTCACAACCATAAACCCCAAAGAGACCAATAACACTGGTGCTGGCACTGATACGAATAATAAAACTCAATTTAAAAATCCTAATCCTACCGTATCTGCTTTCGAATTCCTGGATAGCAGTACTAAGGTTATGCGTGTACCTCATACAGATTGCTATAGCGATAAATAGAGAAATCTACTTGATAATAGAGATACTGAGAAAGTAGACTATCTTATTAAGAAAGTTTTCAAGGAATATAATCTCACAGCTTATTATATAATCTTAACCGAAATTAATAATACTATTATAAAGAGAAATTTGGAATTAGGTATTCCTTATAATTATCAAAAATATAGTATTATTAAAGATCAGCGGTTCTACATCAAACAGCTTTATAAATTAGATACTAAATTAAGAGAAGGAGAAGTTCTAGAGAAAGTATTGAATAAAATCAACAAAAATATACACAGCTTTAATAATAAGGAAGGACTTCCCCCAAATTAGCAATTTAAGCCTAGCTCTTGTGATCTAATTATCTAGGAATTACAATTAAATAAAGAGACAATTAATTTTCCAAAACAAGAGAAAGACAATGATTCTAATAATAAGGATTTCAGTAAAATTCAAATATAGGTTAATAAGGATATTATAAGTACTACACAGCCAAGCAGTAAGAGCAGTAGCAGTAGCAGTAAAGATAGCAGCAGCAAAGGCAGCAGTAGCAAAGGCAGCAGTAGCAAAGGCAGCAGTAGCAAAGGCAGCAGTAGCAAAAATAGTGGTAGCAAAGCCAGCGGCAGTAAAGGCAAAAACCCAATTAATAAGAAAAAAAAGAAGCAGAAGTTTTTACAAGATAAAGCTGAACTATAAGATAATAACAAGCTATAAAATAATAATAAAATATAAAATAAGAACAAAGATTCTTCTAATGATTTTAATAAGCTTCTTAGGAACTTAAGTACAAATCAGATCTATAATCTTAAAGACAATATTGAGAATATTAATAAGCTTATACTACAAGCAGAGTAGTAGTAGATTCTACATAAAAATTTCAACGTCATTTATTAGTAGAAAAAGGAAATAGATATATAGATTATTATAAAGTACAGAACCGACCCCTATATATATCATATTCGAGCCGGTAGATTATATCACTAGGATTCCAAAAAATACCCGCAGGTTATAGGCTCAAATACTAGCGAAAATATGACTAATATACTCAATAGAAACGTTATTCTTACCAGTCGAGGAGATAGTAAGAAATACAAGGATATCCTAAAAGGGTTTAACTATACTTGGAAATATACACAGAAGGAAATACAGAGCATTTTAGGGGTTGTATAGAAGATACCTAATAATAATAAAGATATTAACACATAAGATACTCTATACCTTATAATTCCGGAGAAAGATATTTGCTATCCTCAAACACAAGTACTAGTCAAATAGAAAGATGGGATAGTTACTATTAAGGACTGAGCTACAATTCGCTGTATCACTGAAAAGAGACCTATTGATAGAGATATAGTCATCTCCTAGAAAGCTAAATAAAGTAAAATAAGATTTCGAAAGGAGAAGGGTCTACTATATAAGAATCTGCTTAATAAAGAGTCTACGCCAGCAGCTGAGCCCGAGCCCATAGACTCAGAAATCAGGGTTCCGCAGCCGAGCTTACAAGTAAACACAGTATTCCCTACCCTAATACTATAAAGACCAAGAAGGGATGCCAAGGCTATACTAGTACTAGTAAACCAGCAGCCTGATTCCTAAGAAGATATTATAAGTCTACTTCTCAAATTACAGTAATAAATAGCTGAGATAAAATTAGACTATATATAGTCCTATCCACCAGTATATTCCCCACCACTAGTATACACTGGTTATGATATCAAATCGACAAGGAGAATACCTGGAAGAAAATTCAAGAATATATATAATTAGATACTAGGTAGATTAATAACAAAAACAAGGATTTCTTTTTTAATAAGACTTTAAGCTATATCATATATAGTGGTTAATAGGTATAGCAACTAACATTGATTTCATTTAGTGTATAATATATAATATCTAATACCAAATGAAGCTTGTTAGAAATGGTTATAATACTACTGTAATAAAAGTAAATATAAAGATTACTAAGACTATATTAAATACTTTAATATGGTTTTCTCTGGTTTATATACGCCTTCTTTATACTCTAAAAAGTAGGAAAAGAAGACTAGAGATTAGAAAATTATATACTATTACAGAATGCTTTCTTATCTCCTAATAGAACTTCTTTTTCTAATTATTAAATATATCAATAACTAGATATGGCTTCTTAATTTATTAATAGTTAATAAACAGCTTCGTGAAATTTGTTCTCTAATAATATTTAATACTCTTATTATAAAATTTATAAAGATAAGTCTATTAAACTTAATTAAAGTATCAGAGTTACCTCTTTTATAATATATTAGGTACATCCGCTATGAAGCTGCTGAAATCCTTAATCCAAGTAAGTAGTAAGACTATATATAAAGACTAGAACTAATTATTAAAGTAGTTCAATACCCAGAGATATTCCAATTATATATATATACTCCCGATGATTATGTCTGCAACTAGAGGGATACACTATAGAGATTCCGAAGTCGAAGTATTTCTTATTCGATATTTTATATATACTTTTGTATCCAGGTACAGGATTAACAGGACATTATCAACAATAGTCTTAACACTAAGACACTCTCTAAATCTCTCTTATACTTTATAGATCTATATACTATAGAGCTATGCTTTATAACAGGACTTAGCTACCCTTATAAATAGCTTACTAGCCAGACCTTAATTGACAACTTATTCTCTTTCTCAGATTATTTCAAGAAATTAATAATAAGTATAATCCTTACCAAGGAGTCCGGAGTTCTGATATAAAATTTTAAAGTCTCTGGTTTCTATATATTATTTAATAAGAACAAGAAACTATACAAGCTCGCTAAAGAAGCTTTTTTAAATATTTAGACTATCTATATACTAGACAGTCCAACTATACTAGACTATTTTTCAAAGCTATTAATACTATTCTTATATTACTTAGAGCTTGCAACTTATTAACTCTCAATTTCAAGTCTTGAAATATTCATCCAGGTGCATGTAGAGACTCTCTGATTTCTATATTTAGAAGAAATCTAACTTCTTGATAGTATATCTAAGTACAATCATTTACCCTGGGACATAGGAAGTACAGATCACCTTTTGCACAGATTAGAGCATATATTTCAACTAGGCATACTGTCTGGAGTAACAATTAATAGCCGAAATGACGGATAACTCAAGATACAGAAGACTTCCAATTGATACTATATATTATTCAAATTTAGCTCTAAGAATTGATGTCTGTGTAATAAATATACGTCTAATTAAGATATCCCTTATTAATTCATCCTATTATATTTAAACCCCACTTCCTGAGAGCATCGAGCTCACAGGTTTTTCTATAATAATTATCCTACTATAAAGAATATTTAAATTATTATAGAGCCCTTATTACCCTCTTATATTCTTCAATAATCTTTTGCAGTTTCTAGAACTTGTAAACCAGTATTAATACAAGATAAATCACTACAGATAGTTCTATAATAATAATACTTAGAAGCACCATAATTGACTAATCACCGTTTTTTGTAGTATATATACTTATGAAGCTTGTGATCAAGCCTATAGTAGTATTTAAAAGATTAGATCTAGTAAGTTAGACAAAGCAATGTATTATAGTATTCTAGACTTATATAAAAAGTTGATTAATCAGCTAAATATAATTACTTCTCCAATAATAAAATAAAAATACTATAATAGCCAGTCTAAAGAGAAAATAAATAAATAAGATAGTAATAAGTAGTAGATTTTAAATAGTATTAAGTATTCTTCTGTTTATAGTACTTTGACTTGAGCTATTCTTAATAGTCATTTCTAATATTATAAAAATACCTGGTATAACTAAATATCCTGTAAGAAATACCCAACTTACAAAGCTTAAAAGAAGATTATAGCCCTAATAAATAGGCTTAAGCGTCATATAAACATACTCTATATCCAAAATTATTATTATATGAGTTCTTTTTAGTTGTTCTTAATGTATTTTACATTGTCAGTCCTGATATTAGAAGACTTCGAATATATTTATTATAATATTGAAAGATAGGAATAGCTAAAAATATAAAGTACACCTTTGAGAGATTTAATACAAACTTAAGCAAAGCATATTTCAGAACCATCTAAAGCAGTTAGTAAAGCTATACCTCCTCACCCCTAGTAGATATAAAATAGCTTCCACGCTGCACAATTGTGAGGTGGCTTGTGGACTACAGCCTTTCTCCGAGCCGATACATGATGGCAGTGCCGTTCCGGGCGAAGAGAGTTCCATCCGAGCACGCAGAGTTTAGCCATCCAGATGTAGTAATTATTCTGACGTACTTGAGCTACTACTTCCATAGTCTTAGTATTAAGTAAGTTCAGTATTGCTTTACTCTGCTAGGGAAGAAGAATAACCCTAAGACTCTATACCAAGACTGGATCCGTAGAGATGTATCTACTCTACCTAAGGAGCTCCGAGCACTAATAGGTGTTAACCTAGAAGATATAGGGGCTTTTTTGAATATTCTCTACCCTTATCTATAATATCAGAAAGGACTTATTGACTTCTATCTTTTGCAAGTTGTATTTCCAAGGGAGGTGAATGAATTTCCTTATAAACTATATACTTCTGCGTGGGATCTGCTCTTAAAGTCTGACCAGCCACTTACTACTGGCTTTAGTGGGACTAATAATAACCAGTTTCTTCTATTATATTCTGCGCCGTAGTATGATCTACCGGAACTTCTGTATACTAATATAATGGTCTTGGGCCATCTTTTACATGAGGAGAACAAGTAGTATATTCTAACACAGAATACGCAAGGCTGTCAACTTTAGGCAGAGCAGCTTCTTGATCTTATTATCTGGTAGGATCCCGCGATTCAGGTTATTATAGACATGGGGGTGTAGATTCTTAAACTAAGTAATAGAGGCGTTGTGTAATGGTAGCTTTCTACAACTGTATCTACTAATATGAAGGCCGCCATCTTTTTTGATGAATCTAATAAGATAATTATGCTTGATTGTGGAGGACATGTTGAGAGACTAGTATCGTCTCTAGTTTAATAATATATAGCGAAATGCCTAGTGTTTCTCGATCAGTAATATTCTCACAGTGTGGATCTGAAGCTTCCCTTGTATTATAGGGCTGTGGTGATATTGGGTCCTTACTTAGCCAAAGATAGACTAGTATAAGGTATATGTGACCTAGAGGATCTGCTTATATCTTTTTTATTTGTGATTATAACTGACAGAGTGTTTTACAGAATATAACAGGATGCGAGGAATAGGTCAAGGGTAATCTGTAATATTTGTTATTCTAGCTTATGTGAGTTGTAATATATTATCGTAGGGCACAGCTATTACTTTACTTGATGTAATTTAATAGGCTCTAGTCTTAATTATATATTCTATAGAATAAACCTGAGGCTTTATCTGCTAATAAAAAGCTGGATACGAGTAATTCTGTAATATAAAAACTCTTGAATATTTGGGGGAACTTAGATTAAGGTATACAATAGGGGTCTGGGTTGCACGAGGAACATAAACATTAAATTAGCCATAAAGCTTAGAGAGAGTAGTAGAGTTGTTGATCTCCTGGGCTTCCTGCAGCACTTCACCATGTCTATGATAATGTTTATTACCTTATAATCCATGGTACTTTGCCTAAAAGCAGTTCTACTGTAGTTTGACCAGTATTTAAGATCTTTTAAACTTCAGTGGGCTAGTTTGACTTTCTAACTTCACTAGCCCCTCGTCTCTTCGCGACAGAGGACTTTTGTACTATAAAGTAAAGAGAATAAGCTTATACTGATGATTTTCTTAAGCCTGCTCACTGGGTTCTCGCGAATACGTACAACCAGGAACTGCTTCTTCTGAGTTAGTACAAAGTCAACAAGCTCTTCTACCTTATCCAGTCCTCGTAGAAGACAAGACTGCTTATTTATACTCTAAAAATAACAAAAATTATATAGTTATTTGACTCTCTGGATTTCCTATAATTAGATCTTAGTCTTATAATACCCTGTTAGCCTTAAGATACTACTTAGGATTTGAGTCTGTTTACTAATACTCTTTACTTTAAATTATTCTCTATCTACGAAAGCTTCCGCCAATTCCTCGGGTTGGTAACTGATAGTTATCAAGAGATCCTAGAAGACTAAGTCTAATAAAGGTTTTGCTGACTTAGATATATAAATGGCCTATAATTAGCCTGTAAATTCTCCCTTTTGTTTATATCTATTACAGTTTTTGGGTGCTGTTCTAGATATATATAGTAAGAGTCACGGATACTTACAGACTTATACTAGCACGATCGTGGAAACAGTGCTACTTAGTACAATCTACTTCTAAGGGATTGGCTGCAATTAGTTACTGTAGTGAATTATCCAGCCCATATAAACTTATTATAATGTTTAATATATAGTAATTATCTTAATTTCAAGCACTACTTATACCTGAGCTGTACTATTTATAAATAAGTATAAGATATTCTTCCCTATAATCGAGCGTCTAGTAGATAAGTTGTAGAAGAGAGTCCGAGTACTTTAGCTACTTTAAAAAATAGTCTGGATCTACAGACTCCAGCTATAATAAATATGATCCCTTTTGCTTGACTATACCTATATAATACAGTGAGTAAGTAGTAAAAAGTATGTTTTAGTATCTGCAAGCTTGAAAATACTTATATAATATCCTATTCATTATCACCCTTCTAAGACATTTTAAAATAAAGTTCTATTATTTTATACTAATTAGTATAGATAGATTTATATAAGTCCCCTCCGAGTCAATTGAAGAAGATTAAGATAGATAAAGATTATCAGAAGAATACTATAGCTTATTTAATATTAATAGTCATACTAAATATGAATAGAGGTCGAATTTTATAATAATTACTTCTTAGACTATCTTTTTATAACCTTAAGGTGTCCTGTTCTGATTAAGGACTAACTTTATAAACTATTCTAGTTTAATTAATATAAGTAGTATAACTAGGTGATTGCTTTTTGGCAATAGGCTCTTTCTTCATATTATCCTAAAGTATCTACTTTTGTTTTCTACTAATATAGTTACGGCGAGGTTCTTTAATTAAGTGAATATTATAAAAATAGCGTCGAAGCTCTAAAGTAGAAGAATATACTCTATCTTTATAAGAAGAATAAGAGTAAATAATAGGCTTTTCCTTATTTATCTTTAATAAGTGTTTATTATTAATATAATTGATTAGAGTAGCCTTTTTGTACTATTACTTGAATCTATACTCGGGCTGTATACTCTGATTACCCAGGCAGAAAGGGCAGAGCCCTGGTGAAACTAATATATAATAGAATCACAATAAACTACAATACGGCTGTAGATCCTTTAGATGAAAGCAACAATGGTCCTGCTATTCAGACTTAGTGTGGAACCACTTGATATACAAAAAGTACTATTCTAAAAACACTTAGTGTAATAATAAGCTCTCTTTTTATTTTTATAAAACTATTAATATAGTACTGCATTCAGTGATTTCCTTTTATATTAAAGTATATACTTAGAGCGACCTTAAATCTTAAGACTATAGAAATCAGTATTAAAATATATATATAAGAAATCTAAAATAAACCTTGATAAATCTTTTAAACAAACCGGACATCTTTCATCGATTAGTAATTTACCTAGATAGTATACTACTCTCTCTTTAGATATATAGATAGCTACTATATCTAGTATATACTGTCTTTTAGTCTTACTATTAATTATTACTTTACTAAATAAGTTATCTCACAGTCTATCTCTCTCTAGTATATATTTTCGGTAGATTGAAAGCAGATATATTAAATAATATTTAGTAAATTCCTTTCCTATAATATATTTATTATAGGAGAACTTCCACCAGTTCTGAATAAAGTCCTTGGTCTTGCTGCACTGTTTCTTTACTACTTTATTATATAACTTTCCTTATTCGCTTGTAAGGTCCTGCTGCTTATTTAGCTTGCTATTAATTTTCTTTATTAGAATCTTAATCTCTATATATAGATCTTTAATCTTCTTATTATTCTTAAACTCAGTAATAGCAGTGGTATCAAGCTTCTGGGGAGTATTTAAGTTATAGTAATATACTATACTTTCCTCTATATTAAGATATTTATAGCCAGGCTCTAGATTCCAAAAATACACTTAGATATTAGTATATTTGAATTTCGATTAGTACTTGAGGTAAGTATCCAGGTTTGTATAATCTAATACTTGACTATATATAGCTTAAGATGCCTTTGCTATAATAATATAATCAGTAAGGTATACTATAGTATACAAGAGTATTATATACAGTTAATTATAGTTACTACTCAGCCTCTGATTCTATGAATTTATAGTAGGTCTCGGAAATATTCTCGTTAGGTAAGAGAACTCAAATTATTCTAAATTAAGAAGAATATCAGGGCTTAGCTAGGATACAGTCCTTATAGGATAACTATAGAGAGAATTAGTAAAGATTATATATAATTCTCCTATTCAAGTATCTAAGATTCCCTACTCTTAGGTAGAACTTTTGACAGCAACTCATTAATACTATAAATACTCTTGAAAGCTCGGTCGGCTATGCCTCTAATCATAATATAGAATACAAAGTTTCTGCTAAGCACCTTTTGCTCTGTGATCTAGTTCTTTAGGCTAGAACTATTAGTCTGAATAACAGTAATGCCTAGAGTAGGAACTTATATAACTACCTTATTACTATACTAGTAGCCTTTTATAAATTCTAGATCTGTAGTAATTTATCTTTTGATTTTATTATCTTTATACTAAATATTAAAGATAAGATACTTTTAATGTGAAGAGTTAGATTCTCTGTTAGGATTCTTATATATAGGAATCTGATATACCTTATAGTAAAGATACTTATTAGTATTTTTATATAAACTTAACTCAATAATAGCCCCGGCTCTAGCTCCAGAATCCAAAAAAAGTAATAAGACAAAGATATCTTGGAATTAAGCTCTTTTATAAATATAGTTATAATTATTATCTTAAAATAATTATTTAAGAAGAAAATTAAGATCTATTACTATAATATAAAACTTCTTCTAATATTTTATTTTAAGTGTTATACTTCAGTGTCAATTTATTATATATATACTTTAAATATAATTAGTAAGTATTGTAATTCAGAAAAGAGGTAAAATACCCAGAATATATATTATAGATATTATTTTTAATATTTTTAGAATAATTCTTAAGATTTTTCTCTCCTACTTAGTAATAAAGTAGGATAAGTTATAATCTATACTATATTAAGAGGGTAGGCCTTCTTTATATAGATAGATAAAACTCTTAGAAAAGAGCTTTAAAATCTGGCTGGGAGGATCTAACTCTATCTTAGAGAAATATCTATCTTCAGGTTCATCTTAGGTTATTATCCATCTGGTCTAGAGTCAGTAATATCTATATATATAGTAGAAGAGTATTTTTATTACTTACAAATTCTAATTCTTAATAGCTTTATTATATCTTTTATTAGTAGCCGAAGCTCTCTTCTTATAATATATCTTATTCTTTTTCTATTTTATAATTTATCAATACTCTATAGTAAAACTATATAATTTACTAATTTTTTAGAGCTTCTTAATCTTTCTCCGCCTCCGCTTCTCCTCAGAGAGGCCTGATTTGTTATTATATAATATACTAAGTTTTGATATAGTATTACTTTTTAAGTTATTTACTAAGTATAAGTTGCTTAAATAGAAAAAAAAGAATAGATAACCAGGTTAAATACTCTATTTAACTTTAAAATTTTTCTTACTTAGTTACCTAGCTGGTCTGCTTGGTTACTTAATTACTTATCTATTTGCTCACTCTGCTTACCCTGCTCACCCATACTTATGATAATATCACCCAAATCACCCGCACTCACTCTTCGTCTTAGTGTTGCTCATCTATAAAGCAGCGACTGAGAAAGGGCTCATATCCCACTTGGCCGTGTTTAATACGTGGCTTGAGTACGGCTGAGCGGACGGGAAGCCCTATTCTCCACACCCTGTGGTCGTATGTATCAGTTTCTTGCCATGAGAACTCTGTATTCTTGAGAAAGATAGAAGATAAATTGCCATTCATCACAGGACAATGCACTGTACTTGAAAAAGATTTGAGTTGATCAATTGTTTGGCTCCAAGGCATGCATTGAGTTTCATAGGGGCCTCTAAGTCATGCTTGTTTTTTTTCCTACAATAATAGTACAAGTTCTTCAACACCCTCTCTCTTTTCTCAATTGAACCAGGTCCCAGTAAAACCTTTAGAAGCGGATCCTACTACCAGTTACAGTACTTCCTCTACTCAAAACGCCCCCTTCCGCCGACAGAACTCCAGCGACTTCCTCACGAGCTCTGCATTCAACGGCACATATTGGATCTGCGGGGCATCCTTGATCGCCGCCAGCGTATTCGAGCAATCATACCGTGGCGTCTGCCGACTCGTCTGGAAACGCGACAGCCCACTGATCACCGGCTCCTGGAGCATCGGCAGCAGGGGGTTCAGCGGATTGGTGGGGTCGTCCATCTCCTGCAGGGCGCGCACCCAGTCCCAGTACGGGAGCAGACGCAGGGGGTAACCCGCGTCGCGCAGGACGTGATACGCCTCCTCCATGTCGACGGAGATCTCCGGGGAGGGCGGGACGATGCAGTAGGAGCGGCCGAGGTTGCGCTTCTTGGCCGCAATGTGCAGGGTGGTGTCGCAGACGTAGTCGGCGGTGACGAACTCCATGCGCTGGTTAGGGAGGTGAGGGAAGGCGCCGAGACGGATCGAGCCCATGAAGAGGCGCGAGACAAAGTCGTCCGGGTTCGCCGCCCCGTGCTGCGTGTCGCCCATGACGAATCCGGGCCGGTAGATCGCGACGGGGAGGCCGCGGGCCCGAGCCCGTCGCACGATCTCCTCGGCCACCCATTGACTCGGTGCGTAGCCGATGTCGAAGGGCAGCGAGCGGATGTGCGGGTGCAGCGATTCGTCTTCGAAGAGCTCGCGCGTGCCGAAGATGAGCCCAACCGGGCCCCAGACGTCGAGGGTCGACATGTAGTGGAAGGGCATGCGGCGGCCTCGCGTCGCCAGCTCCAGGACGTTCTTCGTTCCCAGGACGTTGGTTGCGAAGTGCGCCGAGTAGGGCTCGCAGTAGTTCACTTTGGCGGCGACATGGAAGATCGCGCTGGTTCGATCGGCCAGCCAGGTGTAGTCCGGGGCAGACAACCCCAGATTCGGCTGGGTGATGTCGCCCTCGAGCACCGTCAGCTTATCCAGGTGTTGCGCGACGTTGTCCAGGAATTCGTACCGCTCCAGGGTGTGCTCGATGCGTTGCCGAGGGGTTTGGCCATTCTTCGCGCGCGCCAGGCATACGATTTCCTTCACGGCGGGCATGGTGAGGAAACGAGCGATGAAGTGAGTGCCCACGAACCCGGTCCCCCCTGTCACAAAGAGCCGGCCTTCTTCTGGCGCCGTCCAATCGAGGACGGAATTGAGGTCCGCGGCGGACCAGCTCGGGTCAATCTTCAGCTCATCGGCGAGTCGGGCATCAGCGGTCCACTGCTCGGCTTCATCCGGGGCGTTGCCCCCGTCGACGAACGCGCCCAGGTACGCCACCAGCTGGTCCAGGCGTGCGTTCTCCACGAGCCCCCGCATGGAGACGGTTCTGCCGGTGTGCTCTCGCAGCTTGCTGATCAGGGCCGCCGCCTGCAGCGAGGTCCCGCCCAGCTGGAAGAAGTCGTCGGTGTCGCTGAAGGAAGGCTTGTTCAGCAAGGATGACCAGAGAGCCCGGACAACTGCGCTGAAATCCCGGCTCTCTTTCCAATCTGTCTGATCGGCCCCTTGCTTGTCCAGATAGCTCTGGATCAGAGCTCGGCGGTCGACCTTTTCGTGGTCCGTCAAGGGGAATGCTTGGACGAATACCACCTCGCTCGGGATCATGCACGCGGGCAGTCTCTCGCTCAGATATGCGTTCAAGTCGCCGACGCGGAGCGTGTCGGCGATGGCAGGAATGACGAATGCGACGAGGAACGCGCCGGCAGTCGCACTGCTGTTCGAGACCTGAACGACGACCGCCCCGGCGAGCTGGCCGCTGGAAAGCAGCGTATGCTGGATCTCCTCCAGCTCCACGCGAAAGCCGGCCTGCTTGACCTGAAAGTCCGTTCGGCCGACAATCTCGAGCACCTGGGGCTCCCCCTCGCGCCATCGTGCCCGGTCGCCCGACCGATAGTAACGCGATCCGTCTTTGAGGGCGATGAATCGGTATTCGTTCTCCTGGGGCAGACCGACGTATCCCCGCGACAACCCCGGCCCCGTGAGGAGAACTTCCCCGACCACGCCGGGCTGGGTGATGACGCCCAGATGCTCATCCACCAGACGAACCCGTCCATCCCCAAAGGGCTTTCCGAGACTGATGTTGTCGTATTTGAACTCTGGGGGGGTGATCTGGTGCATCAACGCGTGGGTGGTGATCTCTGTGGGTCCATAGCAGTTCCACAGAAACTTTGGGGGCAAGGATGACTCCATGACACCCCGGACTGCGGCTATATTGGCGATACTGCCGCCGATCAAGAGGTGCTTGACATTGTGGAATGTGGCCGGACAGGCGTGGGCGATGATTCCGAACAAGGTGCAGGTCAAATAAATCACCGACAGTTGCCTCTGGGCGATGAACTCCCGAAAGCCGAACGGGTCAGTGACGATCAGGCGAGGCACAATCACCAGGGTTGCCCCTGCGATGAGACCGGAGAAGATCTCAAAGAGGGAGATGTCGAAGCCCGGATTGTTGATCACGGCGACCTTGTCTGTCGCATCTAGGATTCCGATTGGACTCATCGTTGTCAAATGGAGGATGCTGCGCTCCAAGACCTGCACGGGCTTGGGCTTGCCGGTGGACCCGGAGGTGTACAGGATGTGGGTGCGATAGTCAGCGTCTTGATCCTCGAGAGACGCATATCCCCGGCCATGGGCGCGGTCCACAGGAGGAACCGCACCCCCGTCTTCAGTGCCCCCGGGAACCGGGCCATGAAGGGTATCTTGCTGCGGGGTGATTGGAAGGAGGGTCAAATCGTTCTCGACCCGGATTCCCTCCGCGTCTGAGAGAACATATCGTGCGCCGACATCCCGTAGCGTGCTCTTGAGGCGAAGTCGTGGGATATTTGTTGTCAGGGGGACACATGTCAAGCCAAGACGTATGACAGCCAGCTGAGCGATGACCATCTCCGCGCAGAGGTCGGCCAGGATGCAGATCGGCTCTTCGTGTCTGAGGTCATGCTGGGTGAGCCGGGAGGCAAGGTTGGCAACATTCTGCTCGAGCTCGTGGTACGACAGCTTGCGGTCCCCGTCCTCAATGGCAGTTGCCCCCGGGGCTTGTGCCGTGTGGGAGGCAATGATGCCGTCGATGGTGGATTGGAAAAAGGATCCCATTGTATTTTGGGGGGGGAGAGGATTTGGGTAATGATTTGTGAGGTGCGTCTTGGATCTCTGAAGTGCCTCTGGAATTTAGGTCTGCGATTGAGACGGTGAAGGCCATGTAGCATCGGAAGAGAGGGATGGTCCTGTTACTTATAGCCTTTTCCTGGAGTTTGGCTGTTACTCTATCAGGCTGGATGACGATCTGCTGAAATGAAGGCACCAGGATTGCTGGTTACACTTTGCACGTACCGGTCAGGGACGAGTCAGCTACATAGCCCTGCCCGGCTGCATAGCAGTGCTTCACACCCATGATGTGCCTGGACAACTTCCATCAAGTCATGAACTCATCCGCATCGTCGCATCGTGCTCTCCGGGGCGACGAGGACATAGCCTTTGAGGCTGACACGATGACCCGTCATTGCGCACAGCAAGAAAAGTTGAAGAGTTGTGGTCATCACTCACGCCACCAACATGAAGCTATTCCCACGGTTGAAGGCTACCAGGTCAAGCATCAGAATTGAAGCTGACGACTGCCCTATTCACCGCACTATGCGACTTTGGTACAACTGGAAAGCAACACATGTTTCTCTGGACCTTGGAACCTAAAGACAGCTCCCAGGCCGTGGATCCCAGAGGTTCCGTGGTCTCTGACTGGAAATCTGGGATTTGTGCTTCTCCGACGTCATGAGGCTTTCGGGAACCCAGATGCCAGTGTCCCAGCAGTTCAGCCCATCCCTCAGCCATGAACTCGAGTGCATTCAGCAGGAAAACTAAGTTGAGACTTAAACTTGAGGTAGGTATAGGCGCATCATCAAAGCTTATATTCCAGTGGATCCTCTATGCGTTTACCATTTGTACTAGGTTCACTCTAGCTCGCGAAACTCAGACTCCGATGGGTGAGCCTGCAGTTCTACTGTCAGCGCCACGAGCTGTTCTGAGGTTATTCCGCACGTTAAAGCTCGTATCTACAGACTGCACAAGATAGTCGTGATTTCATCCATATCTGACTTCCTCCAGGATTCCAGTTTCTGATACAACCACGCGGACTCAAGCGTTCACTATTGCCCAAATTGGACTCTGCCATGACTCCACGAACGCCATTCTTGTTGCCAGATGCCATCCATCCCCTTCCATCCCGATCGTGTGTTACTAGATTCATACATAAAGGTTTAATCCAAGCCCCGGACGAGATCACCCCCATTAAGCCCTCCCACATAACCCATAATCACCAACCACCACGCCCCTCGCAAGCCACAAATCCACCCCAATTACCCGACCTCAATCCTGGGCGTCCCCAGCAATTCACTCACAGGCCGATCACTCGCCCTCATCTCCGACTGCCCCGCCACCTCCACATCCCCCGCCGGCAGCTCCGCAAGCGACGTCTCCGCCCCGGACACCCTCGACATCCAGGACCCCTCGAACGGGGACTTGGGTGGTGCCACCTGCTCCACCACCTGTGGAATAGTATAGGACTGTTGCTGCTGGGCCGACGGTGACACAGGCGTTTGGTCCGGCTCGATCGCGCCTCTGCCTTCTCTACGACGACGAGACATGCAGAGGAACGCGCCGGCGAGCGATAGCGCCAGCACGCCTAGTGGCACCCCCAACCCGAGTCCGACTTTCTGGGCCGTGGTGATACCTGTTGTTGCCGCGGTGGTGGGGTGGGTGGCTGTTGTGGTTGCGGCTGCGGCTGCGGATGTGGATGTGGATGCTGAAGAGGCTGTTACAGTGCTGATCGTGGAGGAGGTGGTGGCGGATGAGGTTGCGGTCGAGGAGGTCGAGCCCCCGAAGTTGTAGGATGTAGGCGCTGGGTCGTTGCTGTAACGCTTGTTGACCCCGAAGTAGACGCTCGTGAGATTGGGGGGATTCAGCGAGCCGTCGGCTGTGAGAGGCACGAGCTGGAAGACGCAGCCCGACTCGGTGTAGTGGTCGCGGGTGGCATTCCAGACGTAACTTTGTGTGTTGGAGACGTTGTCTGCGGGGGGTTGGTGGTGATGGTGTTAGCCATGCTGTGTGGAGATGACGGGTTGATGGGCCAGGGTTCCTACATTCTAGGAGGACAGGAGTCGCGCATTCCTCGTAGAGGGAGATACGCGGCGTTATCAAGTCCCAGGTCACATTCACCAAGTCCCCGACGAGGTATTTGTGGCTATCCTGAGTGGGATAGGTGAAGCCTTCAGCGCGGACGAGACCCCGGTGGACGGTGGAGAGGAGCCAGGCAGCTAACACGCGGCTCCAAAGGAACCCTAGCTGTGACATCTTGGGTGGTGGGGATGGAGCTGTCAAGGATGATGGACAGAATCAGCAGGAGAGTCAGGTTGGGTTTGTCGACAAGTCGAACTTCCTTGGGGTGATGTGGGAGAAGCCTCCGCCTCAGCCATCAAGCACACTAGTTGCGAACTTGTTACGCTGGGAGAACCTATTCACTCTCAGCCATGCTATAGTATGCGTACTGAGTTGTGGATTGGGCTAATTGATAGTGAATATACGGAGTAGTGAATGACTCCAACCCGGTTCTAGGGCTTCTGCCTCAGGCAGGCAGGAAAGGGGCAAAATACAAAAAGATGGAGCTGCGGGGAATCGAACCCCGGACCTCTCCCATGCTAAGGGAATATTATACCACTAAACCACAGCCCCGGTTGTTGAAATAGGGGTTAAATATTGATTATATGATTCTATAACAAAAGAGATGCTCTGCAGCGAGCGTCATCCTCTCCCTCCAGTTACTGTCTCAAGGACCCAAGCTATAAATTTTGAACTTTTCCCAGACCAAAGTACATTTGACCTGTTTGTAGATCCTCTGTTGCATCTGCAAACCAATAAACCCTGTTATCATTGCAACCTTAGTAAGAGTTTCTTGGATCACTGTGGCTTTAGCTTGGAGACGGGATGTAAATATCCTGCTCAGCGCAGCTTTCTCTCCTCAGTTCTTGGATCTAGAAACAACAGACTGGGGAAAAAGCCCTAGTAATATCACATCATACTGCGGCCACATGAGTCCAAGTGTTATTATCCCACGGTCATGTCAATTATTAATCCTGCGTCATCATATTAGTTAACCACAACTTATATCAACCATCAACAACGCGTTCCCTGAGCCACCCCGGGCCATAAAAAGGCGTCACATATCGACTGGCACATTACAATAATATTATTAGCCCCGCAAGTTCTTCCCACACAGTCATATCAGTTATCATAAAACCCATCTCAGAATCCATTAAAATGGTCCCAAGCAGCCACTCCATGAGCTATGCGACCACTGCGTCAACATCATCCACCTTCAAGCCATCTTAACATCCCCTCCCATCCTCACCGCCGCAGCTTCAACATCAACCTCCTCTCCCTGCGAAGTCCTCCCCCCCATCGACCCCTCCCCATTCAACAAATACATATACCAAAAATACGTCCCTGCAAACACACCCCGTTAGCCCAATCCGACTTCCTCGCCCCCTGATGCAAGACTCACCCGCAAAAACCCCACCGCCAAGTATATTCCCAATCAAGGTCGGAATGATTCCCTTCCAGATATACAATCCGACCGACAATCCCGGCGCATCCAACCAGATCCCCAGCGGGATGAAGGTCATATTGGCCACCACGTGATCGAAGCCCATCGAGACGAACGCGAAGATCGGCCACCAGATCCCGAGGACCTTCGAGGCGAGGTCGCGCCCCTGCATCCCGAAGAAACACGCCAGGCAGACGAGCCAGTTACACCCAATGCCGCGGAGGAGGATCTCGTGGAAGTCGGGGGTGAGTTGCTTTTTGGTGGCGAAGGAGATGGCTTCGGATTTGTAGGGGTCGGCGCTGAAGATTCCGCCATCTGGGGGGAGAGGGGATTAGTTCTGTGAGGGTATAGGAAGAGGGGCTACGTACAGCCGAAAATGATGGCAACGACGAAGAGAGAGCCGCAGAGGTTGCCCCAGAAGGTGATGAACCAGTGAAGGAGCATTCTGTACCAGGGGAGTTGGCGCTGGAGGGCGGCGACGGTTGTGTACTGGGATGGGAGGCGGAGGTTAGGGCGTTGTACAGTAGCTACTCGTCGAGCATCATGGATGTGGGAGCAGGTATGTATACCATGAAGGAGCCGGTGCAGAGGTCCGCCCCGGTGAGAATTATCATGCACAACCCGTACGGAAATACCAAGGCGCTGATCGTGCGGATCAACCCGGGGGCGTTGTCTTGGAACCACGGCGAGGCGTTGGTGCTCAGGGCCGTCCCGCAGGCGAAGGCGAGCATTCCCCCCGCCGAGACGGCGCTCAAGAAGACCTTATCCAGCCGCATGTTGCCCTTCGCGGTGCCGGCGCGAGCGATGCGCTCGACCACCTCGGCCGGGGAGAATGCATCGAGGCTGACGGTGGCCATGGTGAGTGGGAAACCGGCTACGATTCGAGGGGTCGAAAGAGTACACTAGAGAGAAGGGAGAGAAAAGAGGCAGATGTGCAGCAGGACATGTAGTACTTACTGTATATGTAGGCGTCGTTGTGAGCCCTTGGTATCCCTCGCTTCGGTTGCGCAGGCCGATCCCGCAGCGCTAGGAAAGCTGCGGAGGATCCGCGCAACCACGACCGGACGAATAGGCAGAGGGCAGGGCTTATCGGCTCGTCTATGACCCGCTGGCTAACCGAGGTTAGCAGAAACAAGGTTCGGATCCGGGCATGCAGATCGAAAGAGAATGGGGCCATTTCCGACGACTCACAGCCCCGAAGCTTATCATCCAGATGGAGACATCTCCGCGGAATTTCGGAAGATGGGGCCATTGCTGGACCCAGCCAGGTGAACACAGGCAGTCGATAGGTCGGGTGAAGCGAGGAGGACTGTTATTCAGCGACTAGTAGCCCCGGCTATGGGGGGTCTGCTGTCCCCTGATTCGGCAAACCGGAACCGTGGGGATCGCTTGGTTGCGTGGGGCATGCGCGAGGAACCGAATCCGGATTTTGGGAGGACGATCCACACTGCTTGTTGAAAGCTTCGATGTCTTGGTTGTCAACCTTGAGAAAAAGGCAATAGACATCGCGAGTAGCTTTACTCTCCAGTACATATGACCGAGGACGAGGGAAGTAGGGCTCTGTGTCCTCGTGACGACAGTTGCATCACGTGATACCCTGTCATTTCGCTGGAGTGGTCAAGTGAATCGAAATGAGAGGAAGCGTGGACTTGTTTGTGAGACGATCTATCATGCTGTAACGCTCGAAGCATCTCACTGATATAATGATACAATGAGAGTGATAGAGGGGAAGGAGAGGACAGTTTGTAGGGGTTGCCCGGTGAAAAAGGAGGACTACTGTAGTCAAGGGCAATTCTCCTGTTTTATGGTAACTTGTTACGAGACAGGCGGAAGAAGAAGAACTCCAAGGAGAGAAATCAATCAAAGCAGTTGATTTAGTTTTTATAGTTTAGTAAATAAGCATGCTGTGCACAGAGGAAAGGAGACTATTTCTGACTCCCCCAGCACCAGTGTCGAAAGGTGTGAGTGGAGGATTCATTCCCCAAGGGAGAATAGCAATCCACTCACCACAGACCTCAAGCTAATCTCTGGATGCCCAAGCGAGAGCGTCAATCCTCATGATCGCGACGCATTCTTCTTCTGGGGGCAGCCCGGCGGCCCAAAAACACCCGGCAAAAGGCAAAATACAGCGGTTCCATGTAGATAGCACAAGGTATAAACACGAACAACCAAAAGGCCCAGACGAGTAGAAGCGCAATGGCGAGTTCCATGATGGGGGATGCTCTGCAATGGGCGCCTAGACGAGAGCGAAAGCAGCTATGGGAGGAGCGCAGAGAAAATGATCCCTGCTGGTGATTTCAGAGATAGCTTTTTTTTTTTCGCGATGCGTTTGAGGGTTGATATAGATCCTACGATGTCGTCTGTCGTGGTTCGTGTGCTGGAGCGAACAAAGGTCTCCTGGGCATAGTCGGAGTTTATTGCTTCCCTGCGTGGTGGTGATCTGGAGGATTTCGAAGATTTCTGGTATTTTTCAACGGGGTGTGGCCTTCATTCAGACTGTTGTGGGAGGTCAACAAAGAGCCTACGGAGTTGGTTCAAAGAGGTAGGGGAGTTTTATTTTGCACCAGGACTGAAGGCATGAAATCTCCTTTTACTGCTTCTTTCCCCTCCATCTGGGACTGGGATTCTGGAAAAGTACCTTAACCTGCTCTCCATCTATCTGTCTAACAGCCACCCACGATCAACACCACTGGAAATCAACCCTCCACCGCCTCAACCATCCCAGCAAGCCCCTGCATCGTCATCGTCGGATTCAGCAACCGCAACAGACTCACATCCACATGAAACACCCGGAAGATCCAATTGCGCAGCTCCGCCGCCACCATACTATCAATCCCATACGACTTGATCGGCCGCTGCACATCCATATCCTGCACATCGACATACAACAGCCGGGCCAGCTGCCGATGGATCCGCGCCACCGGCGGCAGGTTCTCGTCCTCCATCATCCCGACCTCGAGACCCGGGTTGGGTGTTGTTGTGGCGGCGCGCAGATGCTCGGTGCTCTGCGCAAGCCGCGCGAAGCGCGGGTCGTGATACCACGGCATCTGGTCGACAGGGTACCGCTGGCTGTGGGCCAACAGGGCGAGCGGCTGCACGCCTGCGAGGAGGTGCGCGGGGTTGCTCGTGCTGGTGCCGGACAATGCTAAGGCCTGGGCACAGTAGTCGAGGAACTCGGCTTCCGTGTTCCCGTACAGACCCATCCGCATCAGATGTTCCTGGAACTGCGGGTGGTAGCTGACGATCCCCACGTCGAGAATCTGGCCGAGCGATAACGAGGTCCCTGGCAGGCCCTGACGGCGGCGGTAGCCTGCGAAGGCGTCGAGGAAGGCATTCGCCGCCATGTAGTTGCTCTGCGAGGCGGAGCCGAACAGGGTCGTCCACGAGCTCCACGCGACGAAGAATTGGAGATCCAGCCCCTTGGTCGCCAGGTGCAGGTTCTGCGTTCCTTGAACACGCGGCTGCACGGTCGCTTGGAAGTCGTCCCACGTCAGTTCGGAGAAGAAGGCATCGTGGAGGGTAAGGGCTGCCTGGATGACGCCTTGGAGGGGGTACCGGCACGCTTGGACCGCGCGCTGCACGTCTGCCAGGTTGCAGACGTCGCCTTGGACGATTTGCACGTCCACTGCCTGGCGCGTGAGCGTGTCGATCAGCGCGCTGGCTTCCGCGCCTTGCACGCCCCCGCGCGAGAGGAAGACGAGTGACTGTGCCCCCTGCGCGACCAGCCATTGTACGAAGCTGCGACCCAGGCCGCCCAGGCAACCGACTAAGAGGTAGGATGCGTCGCTACGGATGGTGGTGGCTCCGGGTGAGGCACGCTGGCACGGGATAAGATCCGACGTCGGATCGAGGGTAACGGTGGTCGATGTGGTGGTGGTGGGGTCCTCACGCAGCTTTTCAATGAATCCGGTCATAGACATGGAAGAGACAGACAAAGGCTGGACGGGTCGGCTGGAGTGCATGTTGTGCAATCGTGCCACCAGCCCTGAGAGGTACTCGGGCCGCAGGCTGTGGAGGGTTCGGAGATCGATTGGTGATACGCTGACTCCATGCTTGAACACCCGGCCATCGAATCCGTCTGCACCCTGATAGATGAATCTGCCCAGGGGCACGAGTGCGGCAGAATATATGGGCTGGAAAGAGTCGGTGTAGATGATATCGAGCAACCCCCCTGTCTTCTCAACGATGTCAGCCGCGCGGCTGGCATCTGTAAGACGCACCAGCCGATCCGCTGGAATCTTCCACTCGTGTACCAGCTCGTTGAAGGCATCGTCCGAGGTGACCCCAATATAAGCCCGGGCGCCCAGTTGCTGCGCAATATGGAAGGCCGCAGCCATATGGCTGGTCGAGACATGTCCAACCAAGACGGTTTCACCACTGCAGAGCCGGCCGAGATCGTGGAGGGCATATAATGCAGTGACCGAGGCCGCGAGCATCGCCCCTTGTGCCCATGCAAGCTGGCTGCTCAAACGGTGGCAGAGCGAGGCGTGAGCTCGGACTGTGGTCTGCAACTGATGGTCCCCGACGAGCAGGGCTGACACCCGATCCCCAGGCTGGAATCCTGTCGCTGCCGCCGCGGTGCTCGTCACGATCCCCGCGCAGCCGATGACGAAGCCGGGGGGGTCGCTGTGCTCAATCGCACGGATGGATATTTCCACTTCATCATCGCCCAGCGGGCCGAGGTTGCGGCTTCGGAACCCTCCTTGCGAGCTCCAGGCCAGGATCTGTCCTGGGCAATGGGCAGGAACATGACGGAGCTCGAACGGGACTGCTTTACTCGTGTGGTACTGGGAGTTGAGGGCATCGTCTGGGGCCAGTCGACTGACATGGACGGTCCCCTGTCTCGCACGAAACTCGAAATCATCCCCCGGCTGAAACCCGAATGCCTTTTCTTCGACCCGGACCAGCAGATCCAGATCCTGCTCCGAGAGGACATCAGCATCCCCGTCGCAATCCAAGTCGAGCGTGACCAAGCGCGACGCCTGCGTCTCGGCGTGGATCGCGCAGACAATGCCGCTGATCATGGCGTACTCGGGCTGCTGATGGTCCAGCAAGCCGCCCCGCGTCACGTAGAGGGCGGAATACGCGGTCCCCACCAACCGCCGAAAGGCATCCCATTCGTCTTTGGTGGCGGATGGGAAGAACGGCCGGTCGACGTCGATCAGGAAGACCAGCCTGTCGCTGTCGGGCTGGGCATCAGGCCCCAGTGCGAGCATGTCCACCTGGTGCTTCTCGCAGTGCAAATGTTGATACACCCCCTGGACCACCGCCGACGGCTGGTCTCGGTACACGAGCGAGATGCGCTTGGGAGACGGCATCGGGGGAGCCACCTCCGTGCGCTCCACTGCCGTTGCCAGAATCACGGCGGCCTCCCCTTGCTGCGTGAAGTGATCGAGCATGAGATCGATCCCGGAGAAGCCAGCGCGCGGGAGCACCGCCTCCCACATCGCTCGGGTCAGGAATGGGCCTTCCAGCCGGGGAAACACGGGGTCGTGATCCCCATTCCAGAAATCGGAGAACGTGCCTAGGATCATGTTCCACGATAGCTGGGGGCGCACGAACTCGAAGAGAACCAGCTTGCCCCCGGGCCGCAGCAGGCCCCGGATGTTGCACAGCGTGTTTTGGATATGGGTTGTGGCATGGATCACGTTGGAGGCGATCACCAGGTCATAGTCTGCGTCGACGCTGGTCTGTTGGGTCACGGGCTTCTGCATGTCATACGGGGTATATCGCACCCCTCGATAGGCCTGGAATTGCTCCTGGGCGGCGGCCAAAAAGGCGGGGCCGATATCGGTGAAGGTGTAGGTGTCGTACCCCCGGTACGCATCGGTGTGGCCGTTCAGCGCCGGCAGCACCTCGCGCGTGGCACTGCCTGTGCCTCCCCCGACTTCCAGGATCTTGGAGCGCGGGTTTTTGTGGGACAGCAGCACCACCAGATCCTTCAACGCGACGCTGCCCTGGTGGTATAGCTCCATGTGTGCGTACATTTGGTTCAGGAGGTCATCCTGCACGGCGGCGTGGATCCCTGTGATCTCCCCCCGGTAGATCGCTGGCAGGGATTCGTACATGCGGCACATAAGGCGGGTTTCGGGACCGTTACTCGCCAGCAGCTGAGCTTCGAGACGTCGAATCTCTCTTTCTCGCTCCGAGAGCGAGTAGTTCAGTATCACTGCGCTCCCCGGGAAATGGCCCTGCGCAGCCCATGCCACCTTTTCGTCCATCCAGGACAGGAATCGTCGCAAATGAGGCTCGGCAGAGCTGGGCTCAGTCACCCCGGGATATTGCGTGCGGAATTGGATGATCTGATGCAACGCCAGCTGGTCCAGGAGTGGTAGAGTGTTCGAGTGGGTCTGACGCGGCTGGGATGGGAAGAGCGAGTTCGCAGCAGAGCTGGTGAGGAGTTTCACGTCGGGCTTCCAGACTAGCTGGGTGTAGGGGTCATCGCCAATATCAGGAGCAGAGCGCCCCGTTCCCTCCGACTCTTTGAAGCGTATATCTGAGCCAACCACCGATGTGCCATCCCCGGAAGAGATAGTGACGACGGCGCTGAATCCGCCAGGGTGCACGCGGGCAGAGGCCGCGGCAATGGAGTCGGCAGCCGCCGTGCCATCTTGCGGCCAGAAGAGAAGCTTGCCAATAGAGACTGGAAGGAAAGCACTAGTGCAGGCAGATGCCCGGCCGTGATGGCCAGCTACGATTGCAAGCTGCAGACTGGAGTCCAATGCGGCTGGATGAATCAGGTACCGAGATTCGTGTGGGTTCCCAGCGGTGGTGGGATGCATCTTGAATTGACCGGTAACAGACTGAGGGTCGTGTGAGAGTCTCAGATTCGAAAGACCTCGAAAAGTTGATCCGTAATTAAGCCCGACGCGCTCGAAGGCATCGTACCATCTCAGAACGTTGAGATCTTTATGCAACGCGGAGCTCACGTCTGGAGAGGACACCGCACGGCCATCATGGGCGGCAGTCTTGTCGAGGACAATAGTTGCTTGGCCATGAACATGCCGTGTGAAGACATCTTCTTTCTCGGATGGTAACACTGATGTGATTGTGAAGGAATAAGTGAGGCCGTCATCCTCGCCGGCGAGATGAGAACTGATGGGCCTCAGGTTGAAGAGTAACTCGACGCCAACATCGGCTTCTGCTGGAAGCACCAGCGCGGTCTCAATCTGAAACTCATGGATTTCATAGCAGGCAACCATCTGATCGAGTTTTCTCAACTCTCCCATCTGCATCAGAGCCTCGATGGTCATTCCGATATATCCTGTTGTTGGGAACACGATATCGTTTTCGACCTTGTGGTCCTGCAGCCAGGGCAGATCCTTGTGTTTGAGGACATTCCGCCATGTAGGCTCATTCCGATTTCCACCTGGCGTCCTCGAGCCCAGGAGATCATGGCGAGGGTGTGTGCGGAGACGCCATTCGCGTGTCCACCGATTCTCCCGGTACAGCAGATCCCCGTACTGCCACTGGTATCTGGGGAGATCAACAATGACCCTCCCGGTGAGACCCGGGGTCACCGAATTGGTCAAGCAATCCAGACCCTCCATGCTATTGAGTCGAGCCAGATCCACCGGATGCCCGCGGGTGAACAACAGTCCCGCCATTTGCAGGACATTGGCTGCCGCGTCTTGCTTCCGGATCATCGTAGGGATATAGTCCGGAAAGGACGTGTCAGCGAACGATTTGCCGATCTGTCGTAGGGGTCCCTGCAGAGCTGCATGCGGCCCGACTTCCACCAACGCATCGACCTCACCGTGCTGGACCATCGTGGCGACAGCCTGGTGGAACAGCACAGGCGACTCCAGGTTCCGTCGCCAGTACTGCGCCGAGATCCCCTGGCCAGCCGCATATTCGGTGCCAGTCACCGAGGAAAAGAAAGGACATTCAGCCTGAGTTGGCGCGCTCAGCAGGAGAGATTTGCTCCCCGCGAGCAACGCCACGAGACGCTCCTCATACAGGTTTCCTAGAGCCTGCATATGGCTGGAGTGGTAGGCGTTGCCGCCAGTGGGGAGTATGCGAGCGAAGACGCTTTCCTGCTCCAGGCGGAGCTTGAGGCGTTCGATCTGGTTGCGGTTGCCACTGACGGTAACACTCTCTGGGGAATTGTGGCATGCGATGCAGAGACTCGGCAGGGAGTCGATCACAGGGACGAGATCGTCAGCGCTTGCTCCCACGGCCAGCATGGCTCCATCCTCTGGGTTCTGCGCCACAGCCCACCCGCGCACATAGGCCGCCAGAATCGCCTGCGCGGCCGAGATGCGGCCGGCTGCGTACGCGGCAGCAATCTCGCCAGAGGAATGGCCCACCGTGGCGACGGGCCGGATATTCCACGAGTTGAGGAGGTCGACCAGGGCGACTTGCACTGCGGTCACTAGAGGCTGCGACAGCTCGGCCCGATACACAAGGCTTGTCTCTGCAGGAGCTCGCAGCGCCGCTTCGATGCTCCACGACGGGGCATCCTGTCGAATGCTGTGGAGGACATCGTCCATGTCTCGAATCGACTTCAGATAGGTGGGGAAGCTCTCCATCAGTTGCAGGCCCATTTGCGGCCACTGCGCGCCTTGGCCTGTGAAGACCATCGCCAGGCGGAGGGTCTGGGAGCCGAGTGTCTTACGGGGAGGATAGAGGAGTGCTCCTATCTGCCCCTCCTCTCCCAGGGCAACTGCGCGCGTGGTATGGTTGGTCCGACGACATCTCAGGGTGTAGGCGAGATCCAGGATCTTCCATCGATGCGCCTGCTCGGAGAGGGCGTGGAAGTTCGCCTGTAGGGTTCTTTCATTGTGCGCGGATATGGGAAGCAGGAAATGCTTTCGCTGGGACCATTGGATCCGGTCTGACTGCTCGTCTATGATCTCCACAGACTCCGTCGTACCCGCCCTGATTCCAGCACATCCGGGAGCTAGATTGTCGGCGGCTTCGATGATGGCATGGCCGTTGGCACCACCATAGCCAAAGGAATTGACGCTGGCCCTACGCAGGAGAGCGGGCCACGAGGTGCTCTTTTCGACAATCTGCAATCGGCCATGTCGGAGATTGACTAATATATGTGAGCTAGAAGCCGGGTCAATTTAGAATAAGGGAGGTAGCCTACTGTTAGGGTTCAATTGCTTGAGACGCCTTATGGGGGGGATCATATCGTGCTCGAAGGCAGCGACAACCTTCAAGATTCCCGCCACTCCGCTAGCGGATTCGGGGTGACCCATGTTAGATTTGATCTACGAGCATTAGCTTCTTTCCCCCCCCTTTGGGGAAATATGGGGTGCGAGACACTGCAACTCACAGAGCCAATAAGTAACGGTCGTGCGGCAGTCTTGCTGGTCTCAAATACGCGGCCCACGGCCTCGACCTCCAAGGGATCCCCTGGATTCGTCAGTCACCTGTTCACCTAAAATCACCGGAAGAGCCCAAAGACGTACCGACAGGGGTTCCTGTCCCGTGGCATTCCAGGTACGAAGTCTGGGAGGGGTCAAGGCCCGCTCGATGGTATGCTCGTCGTATCGCCGCTTCCTGCCCGTCAGGGTCCGGGTGAGTGATGCCTCCCGTCCGTCCATTGCTGTTGTTTTTTGTAGTTGGCAAGTCAGTTCCCGAGATCACGATGAAGACGTAAAGCAAGGATACATACGCATTGATCGCGGTTCCCCGAATCACGGCCCGGATTGGGTCTCGGTCTCGAATGGCCTGCTTCAGACTCTTCACGAACAGAACCCCGAGCCCGTCCGCACGAGCATACCCATCCGCCGCGGCATCAAAGGTGTGGCACTGCGAGGTGCGTGAGACCGCGCCCAGAGCTGCGGAGAACATTTGACATTCCGGCGTCAAGATCAGGTTCGAGCCGCCCACGATGGCGGCGGTACACTCGCCCGTCTGAATGGCGGTGCAGGCCAGGTGCAGCGCATACATGGAGGAGCTGCAGGCCACGTCCAGAGTGAGTGACGGGCCTTGCAGATTGAAGACGTAACTCACCCGGTTACTCAGAAGTGCAATGCCGCCTCCGGTAATGGCATACGGCTCCGGATACTCGGTGTCGCGGTACTGCATCAGCTGATGGTCATAGTTGAAATTCCCGACAAAGCATCCGGTCTTGGACCCGGACAGCCGCTCGAGTGGCGTGCCAGACGACTCCACTGCCTCGTAGACGACCTCGAGGAATTTCCGCTGCGCCGGGTCCATGCTGGTCGCTTCCTTGGGGTGGATTCCAAAGAAGCTGGGATCGAAAAGGCGCGGGTCCCTCTTCAGGAAGGCTCCCCCGCGCGTGTAAAAAGACCCAGGTCGATTCTCGGTGGGATGGACCCAGCTCTCCAGATTCAGACGCGAGGGGGGAAAGTCACTGTACGACTCCTGCTGTTGTTGCAGGAAGTCCCACAGCTGTGTGGTGGATTCCACATCCATGTCCCCGTTGGACTTTCCCGGCAGCCGGCACGCTATAAATCGTTAGCCCTGATATTCATGCGCGCGGGGAACACTGAACCGATCATGGGGCCAGAACGGACCGGTGCCGATGATGGCAATGGGTTCAAAGGTGCCATAGTCTTCGTAACTCTCGTCCGTGGTGGAAGAGGTGTCGGAGACTGCCTCGGGGTGGATTCGTCCGGGCGACATTCTGACTAGGCTGTTGAAGCTCAATGGTGTGATGACTGGGAATTAATATCTAGAGAGATGTCAAGAGAGCACTGACCAGCGAGACGCATGAGGTGATATAAGTGTCCTTGCGCTCTTCCTCCCCGCTTGTGCTCCGCATCTGGCCTCAGTCCGGTCTTGGTCGGTACCTCCCTTGGCGTCTGCTGTAGAGGGATGTCTGTGCACAATCTAGACGTAGTCTGGACATGGTCTGGACATAGTCTGGTCCTGGTCAGGCCATATCACATGCTCTCAGCCCAGGTCTTGCGCTCCTGAGCATAAAACTGGCCCTGGTCCTACGCTCCGGTGTAGACTCCATGACCTGATTCTTCTGACACAACCACCCCATACGACGAGATGGCTGAGTATGAGACGCCTGAGTTCTACCCAGTCCCTTTCCCGGACGGCTTGCCCACGATTGAGCTGCAGCGGCTCTCGCTCGCCCGTCTGATGAATGACGACGTGGATCAGGCCCGCCGGCTATTCGAGATCTGTACGCGAGAAGGCTTCTTTTATCTGGATTTGACCGATCATCCGAAGGGGTTGAAGCTCCTTCATGGGGCTCACTCTGTCCACCGAGTGGGCCAAGAGGTATTCAAGGTCCCCATGGCCGAGAAGTACAAATTTGAGCCCCGGGCTTCCTACGAAACTGGACTCTTGGATACTGGGTAATTAATGAATTCCTACTTGATTGATCTGTCCTTCCAGAACCGCTCTCATCCGTCGCTCAGATACAAAGAACTCGGTCTTGATAGCGAGGGCAACTGCAACAAATTAGAATTGCTCAATGTAGGTGTCTTCCCCTCTTCTCCCTCCCACTGCCTGCGCTCTACGACGGCACACTGAAGCCATGGGAAAACAAAACAGATCTCCCAGGCAGGGTTCTTCTCCGGGCTGGAGGACTACACACTGCCCTCGTGGCTTGCTCCGCAAGAAGCCCTGTTCCGGAGCACCCTACAGACGGCGAATGTGATTCACAACGTCATCCTGGCCATCCTCGAGCGGGGGCTGGCGCTGCCAACGGGGGCGTTCACCTCGTTGCACCGGTTAGTCGATCGCTCGGGGGACTTCCTGCGTATCCTGCACTACCCAGCCCCCAAGGATGGAAAGCCACACGCCCATCCCCCCACGCCGGCCCATCGCGATGCGGTGAGTGTGGCCCTGCTCTTTTGCTGGCAAGGGGGCTTGCAGATCACCGATTCGACCGCCCCGGTCGACCATACGGTCGAGGAGCCGGAAGATACCTGGTTCTTTGTCCCGCCGCTGCCCGGCCATGTCATTGTGAATCTGGGGTTGGTGATGGAGGTGCTGAGTGGGAACGTTCTGCGTGCCGGGAAACACCGCGTGGTCACTCCACCTGGTCCCCAGGGCCTGCATGACCGGCTGAGTGTTCTCATCTCTGCTCGCCCGGAGGAAAACACCCCGATGCGGGCGCTGACGAGCCCGAAGATTCCACAGAAGAATCCGGAGGATGACCCCTCCGGGGGGGAGGAGGTGCTCAGTGCGAAGGAATGGGGGATCCAGCAGGTGCTCAAAACCGTCCACAACATCCGACGACAGAACAACGAGCCTTTGTCTCAATGAAGGAACTCGAGAAGGTCTTTCTTTCAATCAATTCTAATGTGACTCTGTGTACATAGCTAAACAAGGGGGCTGGGTCTCCCGGGGTGCCTCCTCCCCACTGGTCTCTGGCTGCGTCCAATGCATTAGCGTATCAATGAGGCCAAGATGCTCATCAGTCCACGTCGGGGTCGTCGCGAGGGGGTCTAAGTCGGCTGAAGAACTGGGCTCATTCCCTTCGGGGCTCCATAGTCCCGAGTACTGCTCGACGAGATCCAGCCCGCTCAGAGCTGGTCCGGTGCGAGTCCTCTGGCTATGGTCGGTGACGTAGTGTAACAGCGTCGGAGCTCCCGATTCCTCGGACGACTGCTCCTTATTGAATCGTTTGAAGTAGCGGTTCTTGGCCATAATCGGGGTCCGGTCTGGGAAGTACCTGTCCACAATCTCCGTCCAGCGATATCCGTATTCCTGCACCGCGTGGTGGAGGATCTGATCTTCGAGTAACGACCACAGATCGCGACAGATCCTAGGGTTCACCGATTCGCGCCACCGTCGCGAGCATTCTGTTCTGTTACTTTCCACTTGCTCACGTCACTTCCCTTGTGACCTGTTGTGACTTACGATCGGGATTCCTGGTCCTCACCCTCTGCGATACCATAACCCATCTAAAGATAGAACCGTTCAGCTTCAGTAGTCATTATATGCGAGTGCGGGGGTGTGGAGGGGCTTGACGCAGGCGACCGATCATACCTACGTCCATAGAGTTGCACCGCCTCCTTGAGGAGTCGATCCTCCTCCCCACTCCAGGTGCCTTTGTTCACCGAGGGATTGGACACGCAGATCCACCGTTTGCGGCAGTTTTTATTGGTGCGGTCCGGGAAGTGTTCTGCGATTTTGTGCCAATTGATGTCCGGCCCACCTGCCAGAGGGGAAGTTGATCAGACCAGAGTATTGGGACAGAGTCAGCGCTTGGGACGTGCATTGTGAGCAGACAAGATCCCGCAGAAGAGCATCATCTGCGGTCGTCCATCGACGGGCTGGTCTGGCTGGCTCTCTCATTGGGAACTGGACAGTAGTTACGGGGTGAGATGCCGGTGGCAGGAGAGGGGCTCAATTCTTCTTATATCTCTGATGCTCGAAGGTCGAATAGACTCCCCCCTCCCCCATTTCTTCATGAACTGCCGCAATCCCAACTTCTTCATGACTAGGTCTGACCTCAGGCTGCCAGCCTGGATTGACATCCTGGCATGAAGCAATGCTGACCAACCGCCTGATTGGCTCGTCCGTAAGCTGGCTGAGCTCAGTTCTTCTCGACCGTAACGAATCCATGCATTGTCAACCCTCCATGAAGGGGAGGTTTGGTCTCGGATTTAGATCCAGTGCGATAAGGTCTGTTTCAAGCCCAGTGAGCGCAGGCGCAGGCGCAGTCAGTGCAACCTTTTCCGCCGTCCGTGAAGATAGTCAAAACCGTGATACGAAAGACAAACATGAAACTGGAGATACCCCGCTCCAAATCTTATTGCCCGTGCGGCTGACAGGATCCACCAGTCAAGCATCGTAAGCATTGCTTACTGTGGGGGGGAGGAAGGAAGAAAGAAGCTGATCGATCCGAACTCGGCGGCGGCTCGCTCCGTTCTCAATTTAGGGCAGGGCAGGTGGGGGTCCCTCCAGTATGTACAACGAACCTGTCGAAGGTCAACCAGTACGGAGTTAGTCTCCTTTACTCTTCTGATTGTTGAGAGTCGAAAATGAATCACTAACAAGTGACAAATATCTCTTCATCCACCTCAGGAAGTCCTGAAATCTGATAAGAAAGGACCCAATCAAAGGTATCCTCTACTACGAGTAGTACAAGATTCTTCCTGGAACTTATATGATCAAAAAGCTTAAGGAGCTGTGGAAAAGCTTCGAGAGGACTAGAGAGATTTGTACACATACAAATTACAGATCACAATCCGGCGGGGTCCGAGTAATGGGTCGATGTACATAAAGTACATGAATTCGACCCCTCGCGCTAATTTCTGACTCCCTCCCCTCCGAGCTGATACCCTCTCAATTGGGCAACCAATGCGAGTCTGCCTCGGGCGTTGGATGGGTCTTTTTGCCACTAGTGTATAATCGACTAGTGTGATGCGAGGCCCAGACAAGGGCCGCATCAAGACCGGACATAATCAGTCGGAAACCGATCACCCCATGAATTGATGGGGGTTTGTATCCCACATCATGCTCAGTTCAACTCCGAGCGCCAAAAGAATCCCAGATACCCAATATAAGTCCCTCCACTCCTACCGTACCATCTCTCCTATCTGTTTGTTCTACTATACTATCCCTCTCTCTCCCCATATTTGGCAAAAATGACCGTCGACAAGAAGATTGTTTTGATTACCGGCAAGTAGACCTCCTCCACCCCTAGAAACACGCACATCATCCACTAATCCCCCGAGAATCGCTCTCGTCTCCCCCACAGGCGCCAACAAAGGAGTCGGTTACGAAACCGCCAAAGCCCTCCTCCTCACCTCCGCCGACTATCACGTCCTCCTCGCGAGTCGGGACCCCGCGCGCGGTGCGGAGGCCCTCGAATCCCTCCAACGCGAGCCAACGATCCAGGGCACCGCCGCCGCCATGCAGCTCGACGTGACGGACGATGCATCGATCCAGGCGGCCGCTCAGCAAGTGAAGGAGCGCTACGGCCGCCTCGACGTGCTGATCAACAACGCCGGGATCTCCAACAAATCCTCGAACCCCGGGGAGCAAGTGCGCGCCAACATGGCCACCAACGTTGTCGGCCCCGTGGTCGTGACCGACGCCTTCGAGCCCCTGCTCAAGGCGGCCACCGATCCGCGCATCATCTTCGTGACCTCCTCGCTCGGCTCGCTCGGCCATGCCAGCAATCCCAACTCCATCTACTACAGCACCAAGGCGAGCTACCCCTACGACTACTACCGCGCGAGCAAGGCGGCGCTGAATATGATCATGGTCGAGTACGGGAAGCGCAACCCGGAGATCAAGGTCTTCGGGGGTGATCCGGGCTGGTTGGCCACCGACTTGGCCAACAAGGAGCAGATGCAGAAGCTGGGGGCGCCGCATCCAGAGGTCGGGGCCCGGGAGATCGTGCGGATTGTGCTTGGGGAGCGCGATGAGGATGTGGGGAAGGTTGTGGGCAAGTATGGGGTGCAGATTTGGTGATTCGATTGTGGTGATCGTTGGAACAGGGTGATGGATATAGCCTGAGTCTTTTCCACTCGAGAGAGAGAGATACAGTACGATCTTTCTTCGTTTCACTCTTGATGGTGGAGTACTGTACGTATCTCACAAATTCACCCACAACTCGCACAGCCCCAGCACTCCGGAGTCATCTGGCAGCCATTGAATCCCTCTTCCTGGGCCATTCCCCGCTGTCTCGCCGTTCTCCTTCCGATCCTGCAGCTGTAGTCTCGGAAAGCGTCGTAGAATCAATGCTAAGCAGCAGTCCCCATCCCGTCAGTGCTATTCAACCACGACAGCCGCAGGGATTGAAGGGGGGCGCAACGCACCAAAGACAGTCTCTAACTCCCGTCGCACCAGCCACTCCACTGGACACCGTCTAGGCCCAGCCCCAAAGGCGATCGGGGTGGCGCGATGCCCACCCGCCTGCGGTCGGCCGCGACAAAGATCAATCTGGTCGGGACAGTCAAAGACGTCTTCATCGCGGTTGGCCGACTGTAGAGAGATCAGAATGCCTTCGCCCGCGCGGACGAGGCGACCGCCATCCGTGGCTGGACCGCCCAGCTGCACATCGCGCGTCGCGACGCGGGCGAGAGCGACGGTCGAGCTCGTGTGGAGCCGACAGACTTCGTCGACAAAGGCGGGGATGAGGTCTTCTTGGTCGGGATGAAGACGGAGTTGATTGTAGAGCGTGCTGGTTGTTTGCTCGCGCTGTCGCTCTTGGAGTAGAAGGATGAGACCCTGCACAGAAATGCAATCGGCTGGGTTAGTCCTTCTCTGCTTTTTCTTGCTGCGCTCAAGGTACGTGGGAGACGATACATAGCTAATGAGATGGGTGATCGTCGCTGTGACGGTCATAGGAGTGAGGATACGTAGGAGAGCTGCTGTCTCCAGCGCACAGCCGGACGAGCTGGTCTCTTGCGCAAGGAGCTGGCTGGTGATGTCGTTGCGGGGTTCGAGACGTCGCTGGTCGATCAGTCGTGTGAGATACGCGAGTAGATTCCTATATTCGTGACTTAGGGGTGGTTTCAGGGATGTCATCGCTGGAGTATGTACAGTGAACTTACTGCTGGGCGATTGCGATCTCGGTGGCCGGCACCTTGGGGCGAAGATTCGCAGTGGCCCACTGCGTCAGCTGTTCGAGGTCTGCTTCGGGGGCACCCAAAAGCGTGTAGATGATCTGTTTTGTGTGCGTCAGTCGGTGTGAGCAAGGCATCTTAGGAGTGCATACCCACGTAAACGGGGACGCGGAGGCCGAACTCCGCATGGATATCGACTGAGGGCCTCCCACTCAGTCGGTCGAGGAGTGCATTGACTACCTTGTGGACCAGGCCGGGCCAGCCACGGTCTATGTTCTCGGGGGACAACAGTCGGTCTATCGCAGCCCTGTGCTCAAGTCAGCGTGTGAACATGCAAGAGTAGGGAAGGGCGGGGGAGGGGGCGTCGAGTCATCCCCACCGATCATGATGGCGGTCCGGCTCATCCAGATAGACAAAGGTGGGCGAGCTCAGCGCTGCGGGTGCTACTGGAGATATCTCTGGGTATCCACTTCGTCTCCGATCCTATGCAGCGGGCAGTTAGGGGCGCACAAATCATCTATACTTCCTCCATATCGTGGCAGACCTTCGACCAGGCTGTCCCATCATCGCCAGTCTGCAAAACTTGCACCGCGTCTCGGTATTTGACCAACAGCCATGGCTCCAGGGTGCCCGTCCGAAGACGGACTCGAGAGATTGGACATTTCTCGCGACGATGGGCCAACTCGGGTGGAGGAGCAGCTGGAGCAGTGGACGGACGTCGAAAAGGGAAGAACATGGTGGCAGTGCTGGTCGGGGAAGAAGATTAAAATATCAGACCGAGTGCAACCATGAATGGTGATTTGTGCTGATATTTGAAGGATCCAGGCTTCGGGATTAGGGCTTACGTTCCTGACTGGGACCGGACGAGGCCCGGACTCGATCATCCCATACCAGCCGAGCTGAGGCTCAGCGCCCTGACCTGGCGGCCGCGTGGAAGCCCGCATGACGGCCACGAGGAGGAATGCATGAAGTATACTTATAAATACTAGGATTCTGGTTCTCTCAGTCTCTCTCGAGCGTTCGTTGAACGACCTCACTACTCACCATGCGCATCACTTTCTGGGCTCTTCCCGTAGCCGCAGCGGCCATCAGCCCCTGGTACAGCACCTCGCCTGCTGGAATCACTCGCCTCACAGGCAGTTCCTTTGGCATCCTCGGCATCAATGCCACTTTTGATTACGTGGTCAGTCTGATTTATTTCGCAGTTGGTGCCCGAGCTGATGATTGAACGGAATTTTAGATCGTGGGCGGCGGCACAGCAGGGCTCACTATCGCGGCGCGGCTGGCTGAGAATGTCAATCTATCGATTGCTGTGATTGAAGCCGGAGGCTTTTATGAGCAAGACAACTCCAACGTCTCGCAAATTCCAGCCTACGCGGTGGAGTACTCGAGCGCAAGCCCTTCCACGATTCAGCCGGAGGTGGACTGGGGGATTGTGACCAGTTCCCAGCCGGTAAGTCATGCGCCCACAACAAGTATGGCCCTTGGGAGTTGGTGCTAAAGCAAACATTAGCAATTGAATGATCGCGAGATTCATTACACGCAAGGGAAGTGTCTAGGCGGCGGGTACGTTCTCCGGGGTCGAATCTCCTCTCACCATGCTAAATGTACCTAGATCAGGTCGCAATTACCTCATATACCACCGGTGAGGGTGATTCCCAGTCCAGACGAGATGAAGACTAAGACTAACCTCTCGATCGGGTGGTCACCAGGGGTACAATAGGCACGTATCAGCGCTGGGCGGACATGGTCCAAGACGATAGTTACACCTTCTCCAACCTGCTGCCCTACTTCCAGAAAAGCGGCCAATTCACGCCGCCCAACTACGAGAAAAGAGGATCCAATCTATCTGTGAAGTATGATCCGTCCGCCTTCAGCTCTCAGGGGGGTCCTCTGCAGATCTCATACTTCAATTACTACTTACCCTTCTCCACCTATGTCCGCAAAGCATGGCATGCGCTGGGGTTCCAAGAGCTGGCGGGTGCCAACAGCGGGACCCTGCTGGGATATGCAGATATTACTGCGACCTTGGATCCGGTGGCCGAAGTCCGCAGCTCATCAGAGACCTCCTTCCTGCAGACTGCCATGGCGAAGTCCTCGCTGCAGGTGTACCAGGCCACCCTCGCCAATCGCATCCTCTTCAACGACACCCAGGCTACGGGCGTGGAAGTCACCACTGCGGGCTCCCGATATGTGCTTAGCGCGCGAAAGGAAGTTATTCTCAGTGCGGGCGTGGTAAGGATGTTTGTTGATTATCGTCACCAACCCCCAAACAATGTGCGGTCCTGACCACAATCGCTTGCAATCAGTTTCGTTCGCCCCAGCTGCTGCTGCTCTCTGGAATTGGACCCGAGTCGACCCTCGACGCCTTCGAAATCCCGGTGGTAGCGAATCTGTCTGGAGTGGGACAGAATATTCTCGTAAGGCCCCTTAACGTGCGGTATGTGGATTGTCTTCTCATGGATGGCGATGTTGCCAGGACCACCCTTTCTTCGACACCACCTATCGTGCCAGCATCCCCACGCAGACCCAACTGACCACGAATGCCACCTTCCTTGCTGAGGCAGAAGACGCCTACCTCCGGGAACAGCGGGGTCCCCTGACTGCATCTGCAGGAAACTATATCGGTGGGTGCCAGTCCTCTGGATCTCCTTCTCCCAATCCCAAGAAACCCCGTCCCAGCTCATTTCCATGACATGGTCTAGGCTGGGAGAATCTCCCCCAGCCCTACAGATCCCAACTCAGCAATACCACGCTCGCCGCGTTAGCGAGTTTCCCCGCCGACTGGCCGGAGCTTCAATACGTCCCCGTCGCCGCCGCCACGGTGAGCACCAACGACACCGACCCGGCGCACAACTACATGTCCTGGTCGGTCACGCTAGTCGCCACGACCTCGCGGGGGAACCTCACGCTCAACTCCACCAACGCGCAGGATAACCCTCTCCTGAACATCGGGTGGCTGTCCACCCCGGCCGATCAGGAGCTCGCCGTCGCCGGCCTCAAGCGCGCCCGCCAACTCGCCACCGCGTCCGGGCTGATCGTTGGCGACGAGATTGCCCCCGGAACCCAGGTGCAATCCGATGAGCAGATCCTCGAGTATATCCGCTCCGAAGTTCGGCCCATGCATCATGCTGTGGCTAGTTGTGCCATGGGCCCGGCGGGGGATCCCGACGCGGTGGTCGACAGTCAGGGCCGGGTGTTTGGCGTCAAGGGCCTGCGTGTGGTTGACTCGAGCGTTTTTCCGCTGTTGCCTCCGGGGCAGATTCAGGCTACTGTCTGTGAGTGTTCGATTGGATCATGTTTGGCTCGAGAGGGGGGGAGGATGAATGCTGATTGAAAGTGATAGATATGTTGGCGGAGAAGATTGCGGATAGGATTCTCCAAGGGCTCACTGTGGATTGACCTTTCTGCAGAATGGATTGAGAATCAAGGGGAATACAGACTGGAAGTCGAGGTCGGTCTGGTCTCGTGGGCAGGCGCGCATAGAGCCACGAATACCATCTATCTCGCGACGCACGAGAGAGGCTCAAATGGTTTTCTGCTAGACATTAAAGACAATCTAAATGTATTCTAAGAAGAGGAGTAGTCCGAGATAAGCGAATCACGAAAACCCATCAGGGATAATCTGGTGATATCACCCGTTGACTACAATGTGCATTGTCTGACTCAAGACCACTTCAAATCCGCTGAATTTCACAACCTCCCTGAATCAGGCCGACACAGATTTCCAGCCATTTCGTGCACCCACAATCGCACTGCAGATGCTCCGACTTGCACCAGGGTCCGCCAACCCATCAATACAACCCCCGCGAAAGACCGCCTCTTTCGGCCGAACCCCGCGGATTAGGGCATTGCTAAGCTTTCCAACCCGAGCAACGCCCCAGAAGTCCCAGGTAGGGAGTCCGATAGGACAAGAAGCAATGGCTCTGGGAGGCACAGACGCGCCCACATCGCAGGATTGCGGGGCGGCTTATCCGCAATACGAAGGACGCTATCCGGCAAATGATAATCCTTGTGAAAACTGGTCTTGCGCTCTGATTGCACGGTCCATGCATCAAACAATATAACCTGCATGAGGGGTGTGACCTGGACACAGCACCTGTTCTAGGCTATGGGCCGATAATGGATTCGATGCACGAGGGAACTGGGCGAGTCGAGTTTTGCTGTTGTCTCGGGAGCCATGAATATAAAATGCTTCTAGGAATCGAACCGGCGACAGTCCCCTTCTGTGATTTTCCGCTCAGTTAAACAAAGGCAATTTTTGCCCTCGAGGCTCCATCCATCATGGACAAGCATATCGGTAGATTACAGGGCGGCCTGTCGTGTGCCTGGCTCATTCTAATCATTCTCCATGCGCAGCCAGGTCTTTCCCTGACGACGCCATCCTCCTTGTTGGCGTTAGAAAGTCTACCCTACTTTGTGGGATGGCAATACCCTGAAGTCAGCTCAACCACAGGCTACATCAGTATGTAAAACATGTCCTCCACCAAGCCCCCTCGATATGCTGCTGAGACCACTGGGATAGCCCCGGCCACATTGGTATTGGGCTCTGCAACCCTTACAACAGCGGCTTCCTATATCTCCGCCTGCGGGTACAGCCAGTCATGTGCAATTCCGACTGCCTGTCAGGGAGCGACAGTTTACCTGAATGATGGCTCGAGTGATATCTGGTAGGTGACCATCGAAACCACTGGAGGCCAACATTCGGTTGTTTCCCCGTTGACGGTGAACGCATTACAGTACGGGCGTCTGCTCTTCGATAACCCGTTATCAGTATACTCCCGAGGGTTTACCGCGGTATACCGTAGTTCTTTGCGGGAGCGGCGATTGGCCCAAGGAGGTGTATTCGGAGTTTCCGGGTTACAAGGCCCTTGGGAGTATGAGTTGGACTCTTTGAGCAGGAACAGGGAGGGGGAGGACGCCATCGCTGACGAGTGACAGGCACTACGACCACCTCGACGCCCTCTACAACCCCCCCTCCAACCACTACCGCCACCTCGACCGGATCCACTACCTCGGCTCCCACCCCGGCTCCAAAGTCCAGTGAAGCGTGGATTGCGGGCGCCGTGGTTGGTCCGATTGCCGGACTTGCAATCCTGGGCGGAGCAGCGTTCCTATACTTCCGACACCGCAAGCGTCGCAGGCAGTATAACTCCCGCGGGGGGGATGAGTCACCGGGGCAAGGCACATCCCTGCAGCAGGCGCACCGGATGTCTCAGGAAACGCCCCACGAGCTCGCAGGCGTGATGCGCCACGAACTGTATCAGGATGATCCACCCGCGAAGATCACTGCGCCTGTCCATGAGCTACAATGAGGAAGGCGACTCAGGAGGGATGGGATAACAAGGGGCATAGGACACCCGACTTACCCCGGTAGTTGGCAGCAGATTCACTCACCGTAGTCAATATAGCTACTAGTAAGACATGCAATTGCTCTTGACTAGTCAGAAAGGCTGACAGCCGAGACCGCCTACTTGGAAATGCTGCAATGAGTACGATCGATGCCATGAACAGCATGGGAATTAGACCCAGATCCATTTATACAGGCTAAACGCAACCGAAACATATCTACGGCACAAGATCCTCATGCACTGCAAGTCACCCAGAGACTACTCCATCGGCCCACCGAAGCTCTCCAACCAAGAGAACCTCTAGTCCAGCAAATTCCCATCCCAGAGCAGCGCCGCGCCATTCAGCACAGCCATGATGGCCTCAAACGCGGCGACACGCGTCCAATTGCCGCCATTCCGATACATAATCCAGGCGGCCACCACCCGAGACGGCACTGACGAGACCATGATCGCCGTATCGCGCTGGTAGGCCGAAATCAGCTGGTATGTGCCCAGCGCAAGAGAGGTCAGGCTGCAGTAGTGGATACGATCAGTACTCAGAAAGCTCTTGAATTTGTTGTTGACATAATGAATGTCTTATCGCGCGAGACACCTACCCGAGACACTGGACGACACCTTTCGGGGTTCCAGTTAGTGAAGAGCCCTGGAAATTGGCTACTGAGGCGGGAAACAAGATGCTGTAGAATGCGTTGCCGAGGAGGAAGACACCCTGCGCGGCGAATACGGCGCTCGAGACGCCGCCCATGCGGAGGCCGAGGTTGTGAAGGGACATGGCTGGAGGAACTGATTTCAACGATTGTGTTCGAGTAAGTCAAAGATATACAGATTCTATGGGGCGATGCAGATGGAAAGTGAATGAAGTCAAAGAATTGAAGCTGACACTGCGATGGCTGGAGGGGAAGGGGCTTATGTCACGGGATTACGAGTCAGCCTCTCCGACTTTTCCGAACCAGCGAGATTGCATCCCTAATCATTCGCATGATTTCTCCTCGACAGAAGTCTCTGTGACAAAGGATGGGCGCTTTGGGACTTCTGAGGGTGATGGTTCTCGCTTTCAGTACTTCATTCTGCGTCTGCGAGTTCTGTGGGCAGGCAGCAACATGATTGAGTTGTATCGCAGTCTTATATGGGATGATCGATCGTCCGGGTTGTTCCGAGGGCACCGCGCATGAGCCATTGGGGATCCGCGACTATTCCGTAAACTGCTAAAGCGCTGCCTGGGCGTTTGGGGCACTTTTGAGGGTCGTGTTCATGTGCTTTGAGTTGCGAATGAGACTCCATCTTTCCCATTGGGAACGAATGTCATGCCCATGTCTTCGAGTGGGAGGTGTAGAGCGAACCTGTAGCCTATCATTGACGTCCCTTATGTCGGCAAATTTTGAGCCCTCTTGCAACAATTGGGGCTGTGGTTTAGTGGTATAATATTCCCTTAGCATGGGAGAGGTCCGGGGTTCGATTCCCCGCAGCTCCATCTTTTTGAGTCGTCTTTTTGCGTTTGATGCGCATGGTAATGTGGTTTTGGCCACGGCTTGTGGGTCAAATCGTTCTTCTGGCACACGCAAAGGCGTAGCGCATAGTCCTCGTAAGTCTGGTTGGGGAACAATCATATGTACCCCCTCGTTCCCTATCGATTGCTGAACGCTCATATCAGGGGACTTTCGGGGTTCTACACTGCTTCTGGAGTGAGATTAGCCGTTGTTTTTTTTTTTTTTTTTTTGGCTTCTATACGACTAGTTTTGCTCCCACCGTTGCTTCTGTGCAAAGAACTGCATAAAGCCTCTGCCCAAGAGGACCTGGAATGTGGCATTAGCCCAATTAGGGTGTAAGCCACTGGGCCTTTGCTTATGCTACCTAAGCATAGGATGCAACAAATGAATCCAACTGCCACAGACTACGGAACGCCAATACCTCCTGTTACACCGTAAGGCTCCAAGTACCGTCCTGTCGGCTATACTCTGCCCATTCTGCCTACACTCTTTGCTGTATGCTCTTTATGACATCCGGAAAATCACCGCATGCACGGTAGCAGTGACTCCAAACAAGCATAAACACATCTTTGCATGCATTTCCAAACACCAAAGCACGTGTCTTACTCTGATCGTCCTGCGTATTAAGTAGAGTCGAATAATGATTGGGGACTTTGCATGACAGGACAAGTGCATGCGGTTAGTGTGTGGGGCCAGTTGGTGGGCTATGAATGTATCTTGGGATTAATGGAGTGTGGAACGAAAGGAAAGAAATGTAGTCACTGTCGGTACAGCTCCACCACGCCAGGAATTTCAGCAAGAGAACAAAAAAGGATCTCCCCGACTGGGAGTCGAACCCAGGTCTCCCGCGCTTGTTCCCGACTGGGATTGACAAGCGGAAATCATGACCGTTAGACCATCGAGGAAGAGATGTTAGCTGACTAACATGTTCAGCTTATGAGGGGAGTGCGAAAGGAAGACTAGAAAGGAATGAAAAACGCAAAAAGATGGACTCGCCGGGAATCGAACCCGGGACCTCTCCAATGCGAATGGAGCGTTATACCCCTAAACCACAAGCCCTTGTTATTAATCAGGCTTATTTGTTGAAAATATATTCACATAAGCACTCTTGATTGTCCATCGACAATGCCTCATTATCAAGCTTTTATCAGGTATACTTCAATGAAATCTGTGCGTACATGTATTAGAATGACACTTTATAGCTTTGTAGGCTTTGATTAGATCAACCATGATCCTATACTATTCTCCAATGAGCATTGCAATCTCGCAACCTTTCGAAGAACGATGTCCGCATAGGGATATATATATTACCAGTAGAAGGCGAACAGGGATCGGATCCTCGACAGCCTACCACTTCAGCAACCCGCCAGCATCGCCACGTCCAATTGAAATTGTGAGAAAGCCACCACTTTCACCTGAATGTGACACCCATAGTCAACAACATGCATAACGGTTCCGCTGACCGATTTCCTACGTGGTTTTCTCCCAGCCCCCTTATCGCGGAGCATTCGACCGATAAGCGGTGGGCACCAAGTTACATAAAACGACAACCATGCAATCATTCATCTAGTGTTTTGTTTATGACTTTGGTAGGAAGAATGCATCTGGAAAAATGAACTACGAAGCCTCAGATATTCCAGAGACACAAGGACTTGCAATCGCACCTCGTTTGATCATCGAAATGGAACCATAGACATGGCAGAGATGAATGTGCAGCCCCCAGACTAGGGTATGCGCACAAACCATGTCTTGTGCATGTCTATTATTCATTTGTGTTAAAGTAAAAAGCCCTACCTCCGATCCAGCCAATACCCCCGGGCCAGCTATACCCCCCGACTCGGTTCCCTCGTACAGGTCCTCCGCCAGGACTTCAAAGCCGATAATGCATCCGCCACCCCTTTTCGTTTCTGCCGTAACCCCATCCGGATGTCAAGCCCGGGGACTAACGTATAGCGGCGGACCGGGCAGCCTCGGCAAGAGCTTCGATAGAGTGTAGCGGTGGATATCAGCAGACGAATCCCCCAATCACCGCATGGCGCCTCTGCACCACCCCATCCAAGCGCCGAAGCTATCACGGACATCCACATCCCGTCCCCAGTGTAGATGGTCCCATTTGCCAGGGCTTGCGGGCGCTGGCAGCTGGGCTCTGGCACCACAGCCCTGACGCCAGAACCGTTCCGCACAGCGAGGCCATATAAAAGGGGTGGACTGGCTGGGCTGGGATCCTTTCAAACGGTCACCATCATCATACCGCCGTCCCCGTGTTATAACTTGTACACCACACCGGACTCCGCAACATGAGCATCACATTCGACGTCTTCCGCGGATCCCCGGAGGGCCGCATCCTCGCCGCCCAGGTGACGCGCACTCTCGAGCACAACGAGGTGTTCATCGAGACCACCCACTCCGGGGTCTGTGGCACCGACGAGCACTGCCTGAAACTCGGGTGCGTGCTGGGACACGAAGGCATCGGGATCATCAAAGCGGTGGGCGCAGGGGTCCAGTCGGTCCAGGTCGGGGATCGCGTGGGATTCGGCTTCACGCATAGTATCTGCGGCACCTGCGAGGAGTGCGCGAGCGGTAAGAGCAGAGCCTGCTAGCGTTGCTCCAACCATGTGTGGTGGTTCATGGGAAGTTTGCTGATGGTACCACCAGGCTGGGATCAATATTGCGCGCACGCGAAGCGGTACGGCTACCACGACCACGACAACGGCTCGTTCGGCCACGGCGCGGTGTGGGACGAGAAATGCGTCTACCAAATCCCCGAGGGATATGATTCCGTTCATGCGGCCCCGCTGATGTGCGCAGGCGCCAGTGTCTGGGAGATCTTCATGCAGTACGGGGTGCGAGCAACGGACCGCGTGGGCGTCATGGGAGTCGGTGGTCTTGGCCATGTGGCTATCAAGCTGGCTGCTGCCTTGGGGTGCACGGTCGTCGTTTTGTCGAACACCGAGGCGAAGAGACAGGAGGCCTTGGACTACGGGGCCTCGGAGTTTTATGTATACAAGTCCGGAGGTGCGGTGCCGGAGGGGTTCCAGCCGGTGAAGCATTTGTTGCTGTGTGGAAGTGGCCAGGTGGACTTTCCTGCGTGAGTTGTTGCTCCCTCTTTCTTTTGGACTCCTTTTCCTCTCTGGTATTTGCTGTTAATCACTAGCATGATCCGTGTTCTGGATTTGTCCGGCTGATATATTCACTACCTATTCACTAGCTTGATTCCCCTAATGGCTACGCGTGGTAGCATTTATCCCCTCACAGCCACCCGCACGCCCGCCTCGGTGCCCCTTGCTGCGCTCTTCCTTCGCGGTATTAAAGTGCAAGGGTCTCTCGTCGCCTCCCGCAACAATCTCCGCTCTCTGCTGGCATTCGCTGCCCAGAAGAAGATCACTCCCACGACGATGACTTTTCCCATGACCCCGGCGGGCATCGAGGACGCCATGCAGACGTTACGAGAGGGGAAGATGAGGTACCGGGGGGTCTTGGTCCGGGACATGCAATAGGAAGTGGTCACATATAAGCATTTGTACTGTACATACGCAGCGAGAACGACACTCCGAGGATGAGGATTAAAAGCATTGAAGCGCATAGCAATTCCCGCAGATCCCGCTCAGACTCCCGCTAAATCCATCTATCATCTTGCCAAGACAAGATCCAGCGTCATTCGTTATCATCAAGCATTGTTAAACTGATGCTCCAAGACCATCACACTCGACCCGGGCGCATATTTCTCGAACCGCCACCATGGCGACTCCTCTTTCAGCTCTCGCTGGCAGACGCTTCCATCGTCAAAACCTGCACAGTAGGATGATGGCTACATGTGGCTGGAAATTGCCCAGTCCCGCACTGCCTCGTGAATACATACGAGACGCCCGCATCACCCGTGCAAGCCCTAAGTTATGTATCACCAACCGCATATCCGCGGTTTTCTAAAGAGAACGACTGATTGCCTACCTGGTCAATTTCTACAGACCCCGATCGCATCGACCGTGGAAGCCATGTCAGATACCGACCAGATGCAATATGCAAATGGCGACTGCGCTCGAGAGTACAACGCGCAATGATGTGCAGCCGGTGGGAAAAGCAAGCAGTTTCCAGGTCCAGGTAGGGCCAGCTGGCCTCGCAGCAATGTAGACTGCATTAGAATCCTTCAAAGATCAAAGTGATGAGAGGAATGCAAGACGAAAAAATGGGGTATCGTACCCTGCGGTTGGTGCCATAGTCCGCCTGGCGCACGTCATCAGCATCATCACCACTAACAACGCCTTATCAATACCCGCCGCTGAAGATCTTCCCTGCCTGCTGCTTTCTCGGCCGGGATAACTATGCATAACGCAATCGAGGCCAAGAACAGCGTGACAACTGCTTCGTGCGGCAGCAATGGCGAAATTCTATCGCCTCAGCATCTACTTTAAATTGAAGCTCGCATATCAGTATCAACAGCGTGCCAACCCGGAACGACTCTGCATCTCCATTCATCATGGCGGTCATTGATCTCGTGCCCCAAGGGACCGCCTATGGTCTACTCATTGGCCTGGGGGTCCTCTTCTGCGGGGTGATTTTAGTGGCCATCAAGATCCAGCGAGCTTATCTGGCCGAGGACTCAGCGACATCCGAGATGTTTATGGTCGCCAACCGCTCGGTTGGCACAGGGTTAACGGCCTCTGCTGTTTTCTCCTCCTGGATGTGGATTAACGAGACGGTGCTGTCCGCCGCAATGTGCTATCGCTATGGACTGGCGGTTCCTCTGGTACGGATTCCAGCCCCTAACAGTTGGTTCTCGAGCACTGACCGTTGAATTGATATATAGTGGTGGGGCTCTGGTCTCTGCTTCCAGATTGCATTGATGGCCGCCCTGGGGGTCATGGCCAAGATCCGCGTGCCCTATGCCCATACATCCCTGGAGATCATCCGCATGCGATACGGATGGGTGGGCCACATTATTTACATGATTCTCAACCTGACCAACAATGTGTTTGGCTGTGCGTCGATGATCTTGACTGGGTCGCAACTGATCCACGGGGTCTCGGGCATGAATTTTGTCGCTGCGACTATCCTGATTCCGCTGGGAGGTACGACAGTTCACCTCTGTCTGCGACTTGAATACGAATACTAACGCATCGTGGGTAGTGGTGCTTTATACCGCTGTCGGTGGACTCAAGGCGACTTTCCTGACCGACTTTCTCCACACGACAGTCGCGTTGATTCTGATCATTTACTTCACTCTTTCCGTCTTAACCCACGAGGCTGTTGGCGGCTTGACCGGCCTCTACGACAAAGTCGTCGCTACTGCTAGCGAAAATTACATATCGGGCAATTTTGAGGGCTCACTTCTCACCATGAAATCCAAAGATGCCATCATCTGGGGCTTGATCTTGAAGTTTGGCAACCTCGCCCTGGTGGTCATGGTTCGTTTCGCTCCCACCACGGACTGAAGACCTCCTCCATCTCACACTAGCCGCAGGATACTGCATTCTGGCAGAAGTCATTTGCCAGCGAGGTCAACTCCACTGTTCCCGCCTACAACCTGGCAGCTGTCGCCGTCTTCGGCATACCGTGGGGTCTGGGGACGGTGATCGGACTATCGGCGCGGGCCTTGCATAACACGCCTATCTTCCCCACATACCCTGGTCCCATCACCGCCAGTGAAGTCAGCACGGGGATGGTGATGCCCTACCTCGTCAAAGCCTTGTTGGGTGAAGCCGGCATGGTCGCCTTCTTTGTCCTGCTGTTCATGGCGTTGACCAGCACCGTCTCCTCGTCCATGATCGCCGTCAGCAGCATCATCTCCTTTGACATGTATAAAACATACATTAACCCCACCGCGGGCGATCGAAGATTGCTGCATGTCAGCCACCTGGCTGTCGTCTTCCACACCATTTTTATCACCGGCATCTCCATCGCCCTCAACTACGGGGGCGCCAACATGACCTGGATCGGCTATTTCCGCCCAATCCTTTCGTGTCCTGGAATCATCCCGCTGGGGTTAACGCTGTTCTGGTCGGGTCAGACCCGGCTGGCCGCCATTCTGTCGCCCGTTCTGGGCTTCTTCACCGGCCTGGCCATCTGGCTCGCCACCGCTCAGTTCTTGTATGGGGCTGTGAACATGACCACCACCGGCGAGGGCCTCCCAGCCTTGTACGGCGCCATCGGCTCCTTCTTCTCCCCTGCTCTGTATTCCGTACTCATCTCCCTCTACCACCCCTCCACATTCGACTGGCGGGAGTTCCTGCGCATCGAGCTCGTCGCCGACCCGGAGCCACGGCCCACTGAAGACATCCCCCCCGAACACCCCCCCGAACACCCCCCTAGCGAGAAAACCCCCAAATCCCCCGACACGCAACTCGTCTCCCGCTCTGCAACCCCGGACTCCTCCCGTCTCAGTCTCGATGAGGTCATCCACCCATTCTCCCCAGAGACGTTGCGAGACTTGTACCGCTGGTCGCGCATCGCGTGGGCGACGTTCGTCGCGCTCGTGCTGATCACCTTTGTGCTCTGGCCCATGCCGCTGTATCGGGATTATGTGTTCAGTCGGTCGTTCTTTGCCGGGTGGACGACGGTGGCCATTGTTTGGCAGTTCTGCGCATTTTTGGCGGTGGTGGTGTATCCCTTGTATGATGGGCGGAGGGAGATTGTAAAGGGCGTCCGGGGGGTGTGGGCTTCGGGGAGGGCAACGTGGGGGAGGTATTGGAGGTAGATCGGTACAGTAACTATGATACTTATTTTGTACATGCTACAATCTGACTGACTCGTCGAGTAATCAAATGGTGTCATAGAAAGCAATAAAGCACAGCAACCACTTGAAGGCCCCTTGCTCTGACTAATACCCAGTAAATAGTCTCCCCCGAACGATTGCCGAGATATGCCGAGGGGGGATCCACAGCAAAACCTGCCTTCGCCCGGCCCAAATTATGGAAAACCTGGGGTTGCAGGGCTGATCCTAGTCTTAAATACATCTATCGACCCCGTCACCTGCCCTTCTTTGCACCAATCCTGACCACCCATGCATTTACCTGGTCAATGACCGAATCTGAATAACTTCAATGACGGAACAAGAATTCTTGGCCCGCCTCCCCCCGTGGCTCAGTCACTGGTTTGGCTATCGAGCCAGTCCTCCCCCGCCGCTCCCGCAGTATCAAATCTGGCTGTGGTCCTTTCTGTCTGCCTTCTGCGGCCTCTGCTGTCTCCAGGCCATCTTCAACTACTCCCACTACTTCCTCGACCGCCATGTCCCAGGGATCATCGCATCCTACGTGCGTATCCTCCCTTTCTGTCTACCTCCCCCCCCACCGCAACAATCGTGACAACCGACTAACAAAAAGTCAACAGGGCGCCTCCGCCGTCCTCGTCTACGGCGCCATCGAAAGCCCCCTCGCGCAGCCCCGCGCCCTCATCTTCGGCCACTTCCTCAGCGCCCTCGTCGGCCTCTGCATCACCAAGCTCTTTAGTCTGATGCCCGACGAGGACCGCTTCAACTCCCTGCGCTGGCTGGCCGCCTCACTCTCGTCCGCCGTCGCCGTGGTCGTCATGCAGGTCACGCAGACCACCCACCCGCCCGCAGGCGCGACGGCCTTGCTCCCGGCCACGAATGATGCGGTCTGGGCGTTGTCGTGGTACTATCTGCCGGTTGTGCTGCTATCCTCGACCATGTTGCTGGCGGTGGCCTTGCTGGTGAATAACCTGCAGCGTCGCTACCCGGTCTTCTGGATTGCGCCGGTTCAGGCGATTCCCGCGTTGCCGAGGACGGAGGGGAAGTAGTCAAAGGGCAGGTTGTTTTCTTTTGTTTTTTTGCGGGGTACGCGGGTGGGAGATGCTGGAGAGGTTTACTTGCTGTGGAAAGTTCTGGTTTGAGAGATCTGTCCGACTTGGGTGTGCTGGAAGATCGTGGAGCAGTGTGTTGTTAAAGAAGAAGAACAGCAGAGCCAGCCAACAACCAGGCTTCTAATATCACCAGTGTCCTGTACATGTCACCACCCACCCATCAGACCGGCTGTAGCCCACTCCGGATCAACTTTCCAATTGACCAGTGCCCTGGTATAAGCCCCCTGGGGCACATTGCCGCTCCACTGCCCCGTCATGCATGCACGACTTCCGGAGCCAGTCCCGGTGCAGGTCCGTCGCAGCTGGCTTCTGCCAAACTGGGTCTATCCGAGATGAGTCGATTGAGTCGAGCAGGAGTACCGACCCCGAGAGGGGATACGGTCAAATTAGATGAAGATTTGACGGCACCACGGTTGTTGCTTGCTGACTTCGATCACCAGCCGACAGGACATCGTGTCGAGTCAACGACCACATATGATTCACGTCAAGCACCACCGCGCAATAAAGGCTATTGGCTCGACGATTGCCGTGTGGGTCTGACTTTTCAAGAGTCTTTGGACGAAGACGAGAAAAGGCAAAAAACGACAGCAGTCGGATTTGAACCGACGCCTCCGAAGAGAATAGATTTCTAGTCTATCGCCTTAGACCACTCGGCCATACTGTCTGGTATGCTGAGCTGCCTCGAAAGTGTGCGCTAGAACCAAGAAACAACCTTGGGCATGTCGTCGCGAGCGATTGTATGGGACTGTGGGCGTATGGTCGACACACGAGGATGTTTCAGTAAGTCGCAAACTGTAGACCAATTATTGGGAATATACAACTCACTTTCCCTGCCCACCACAATCGTATCCGTGACATTATGTCTAGTCCTTGCATGAGCTCTCGCGCCGTGCACTGGAGTCCACACTGGTGTATGAGATGGCGGGATGGTGCTGCTCTGCGTGCCGGGATAGTGTAATGTAAGACACTCAGACTCAGTTATTAGTCCAGAGAGTGCTCCAGCTTCATACAGCATCCTGTCTAAGGTGTAGCCAGGGGCTAGGATGGTAGTCCGCTTGAGACACGACAGGAAAACCGACACTCAAAAACACCGCAAAAACACAAAAACGATCCCGGTGCGACTCGAACGCACAACCTCTAGTACCGGAAACTAATGCGCTACCATTGCGCCACGAGACCTTGATTACATAAGATAGAAGGTATCTTTTGTTCAAGAGTCTTAACCTCTACACATCAATTTATCAGCGGCAACTCCGCCAAAAGGAGTCAATCTGCATCTCCAGTCACTATTTATCAAAATATCCTGCAGGACACCATGTCTGACGAGTCACCGGGGTCCAACCGAAATGGAAGTACCGTCTGTATGAAGCCGGTTCGGAGCTGGGATTCGGCATGAATTGACCCCCTAAACGATCAGAAAAAAATAAGAGTCCAGACCAACCCTAACACCGATCGAGAAGAAACCCCCAATTCTGGCCGAAATGGCGGAAATTCCGCCGCGCCATCGCGTAATCATTTTTTTCAAATTTGTAAGGTAGGCAACTTTCTTCCCCAATGGCGGTGTTCTCTTGATCTTTTGACCCGCAGGCTCTTCTGATCCCCACCC